GACGGCAACAACTTCTTGCGTCTTCAAGTTTTGGCATTTTACGACCTGGCCGAAGGTACCCTGGCCAAGGACATCGAGAATCAGGTAGCGGTTCCTGGTACAAACATGTAAGTGACTGCTTCTCAACTCGTGGTGGGCAGCAACTTACTTATGACCAGCCTCCTCCGAGCCCAAGATATCATTTACATAGAGGATGTAATCGCTGTCCTCGTTGTCATAGCCGTCATTCTTTACTCCCTTGCTAGGCTTGGTAAGAACGCGCCGAGGATTCCTAGACGACTCGTACTTGAAGCCGGGGTTGCATATTCGGTAGGTGGCGGGAAGGTGAACTGTTAGCGCTTGGAGGGGCTACCGTAGTTTGTTAGCAAGCTGCCCAAAGCTATCTTTCGCGAACTTGTACATACACTGATAAAGCCGCCTTCCGGGTTAGCTCGTCGATGAGCCGGCTGCTTGTTAATCTTTGGTCGAAGGTCCTGGGGTCCTCGTATTTTCCTAAACTCGGGAACTGGCGTCCTATCGGGCATGGGCATCGGTTGCGACTGAGAGTTCATGCGCCTTGGCGGCGACTTGGGGTCCATATAAGAGCCGTCCATGGTAGAGCTGATTGCCGAGTTTGGATAGCTGTGGTCGTGTTGAGCGGGTGCGTATGGGTTGATGGGGGGAAGCTGTTGGGATGCTTGACGGCTGGTGTAGTAGGGGTTCTGTTGCTGTTGCTGCTGCTGCGGCTGCTGTTGCTGTTGTGATTGCGGCGGGGCATATTCGTTCGGTCGCGTAGGGGATTGACGTTGGGCGGGGGAGAATTGGCTTCCCTTGGGGTATTGGGAGGCAGGCGAGAGAGCCTCCATGGGCGAGTATCGCTGCGCGGCAGCAGATGGTTCTTGGGACGTACTAAGGCTGGCCGGGCGACCACCGGAGAGAGAGTGATGCGGCCTCAGGGGGTACTTGATGGTAGGGTTCTGGGATGAGTATGGATCGTGGGCATCCTGCATAGCGACGTCGCCGTTGGCGTCGCGCGACTGGGACGACGTCATTGGGGAAATGGACGAGGACTGTGGTTGCGCGCTTGGGTTCAGACCGGCCTGGTACGGATCATACTTGTATCCGGCCGGCGGCTGCTGCTGCGCCTGGACCTGGCCGTTGCTGGCGTAGTCTCGAGGGGACATGGACATTTGGCCGGAACCGTTGTTGTATCTCCTGGACGAGCCGCTGGCGGCAGAGTCAGAGTACGGTTGCCATTGCTGCTCCATGGCTGCTGGCAGGGCGAAGGCCAGCTCGCGGGACGGGCTCGGGGCTGTTGCTGGGTCTGGTTTGGCAGTGAATTCTGTTGCGGTGGTCGGTGGTGTCGTCGGCGCGAGAGGGGGGAAGGAGAGGGAGGGTTTGAAGCTTTCGAAGACGATGGACTCGGGTCGCTGGCTGGCAGGTCACAAGTGTGGGCCTGATGATGGAGGTGCGGACCGCGGACTGCCTGCTTGGGTGGTGCGCACTAGAACTAGTGTAGTGACTGCACCAGTGGGCAGTGGCTACCTTCTGCTACCTAGGTAGGTAGTGTAGTAGACTTTGTACCTAAAGTAACTACCTCTGACTGGTACTGTTGGGGCAGCTAAAGTTTAGGTAGGTAGGTAGATGAGTGCCCTGTCCTGTTGGTGCCGCCGAGAGGACCCGCTCTCTGCTCGCAACAACCTGTACGGGGAGGCGGAGAGGGCAAAGCGCAAGGAGCAAAGCGGGCCAAGCGGTGCCAAGGCGCTGCGAATAAAACCTACTCTCTCCTATAGGAATGCCAAGTAACTCCTGGTAACCAAAATCTTTCCTTTCAGCTCGGGCAGTACAAAGCTGTGGTGGGCTGTCTCGTGGATGTGGATTAGACGCGGTTCGGTTGGACGATTGGGACGGACGGGCAGAACAGAGACAGGAAGAGGTTTTGGGGCCGTTGGCGGGCTGTCTTAGCCAGACACGACGGGCAGGGTTCAGTCGGCTAGGTCGCAGGTAGGAGGAAGAGACACCAGTTAAATGAGCCTCCGTCGCTTGTTGCTTCTCCAGCTGTACTCAAGAAGGAGGGAAATACAGTACGTCAGAGAAAGCAGCAGGAGGAGGACGAGAATGAGGACGAGGCAGTGACCAAGCAGTCACGTCCGGGCAACAAGGCTGTACACCTATGCAGAGTACGGCAGGGAAATCGCAGTCGTTCGCACCATGTGCAGAAATAACGGGGCTTCCGTCGAGACCGATCCGTAGGCGGTTCCTGTTCCGGTTGCTCGTGATAGTCGGTGGATTTCGTATTTATTCAAGGGTTCCCAACGTTATGGTGAGGTATGCCCAGACAGGGTCACAACACAGGTGGGTTGAATTGGGTGGTGAGAGTCTGACTCCCCGCCCGCCAATGTTGTGTCAAATGGAGGAGCCCTTGCTCTCCAGTTTTGACAACGACAACGACGACGACGACGTTGATCTTGAGACTCCCGCGTCAAGAACCTTCAATTTCAGGCTCTCAAGGAACAGGAATTGGAGCCACCTTCAATCAACGCACCAAATGCAGTGCAGAAAGCCAGCCGGTTCCTAACCTGGCCTGATGATTTCGAATCTGCGCTTCATGTGCACTTTTAGTTTCGTTCTTGTGTCTTTCCAGTTTAGAAGGATGGATCGTTGTGGGCGTGCAGCTGGCTGAGCAGGACAGCGCAAGCGGTTGTCTAGTGAAACATCTGATATTATGCCCGCAATGTCCGGTATGTTAGGCCGGTACTGCTAATTTGTATAGGTAGCCACCAACACCAATACCTTCTTCACCAATACATAACCAACCTGGACCCAAAAGTTCTGACCATGAACGCCTTTGGCGCCAACGGTTGGTGTTTGACATGGCGTTTCTCTTCTCGACCGCATCCCTTCTTTCGTTACTTTTCTTCCCTTACTCCCTTCGCAGATCTCGGGTCCTACTGTGTTATGAAGCTTCATAATTTTCAAGTTGGTGATAATCGGTCAAAACTCTTGGCGTACGTTCTCGTCGTCTGGTTGGAGCTGCAAACAACCACCGGAGATCATTCAAGATGCCCGTCATTGAGACACATTCAGATAAAGTGGGGAGTACTAAAAGGACCTTGAGATTGAACCAAGAGTGCCTGCCCAGTCTCCAGCAGGTGGCGTTTCGACAGGCCACGCACGCTGCAAGCAGCCAGGGCAGCCCATCTCGCCGTCCATCCATCCAGGCGAAGTGGTGGTAAAAAAAAAAAAAAAAGAAAAAAAAAAAAAAAAAAAAAACACCTGAATCAACAGCATCAATCGATCCCAGCTTGAACGTCAAGCTGCAACAACAACACCACACAATTCCGCACCACCAATACTACTCAATACGAAGAAAGAAAAGAGGCAGCTCTCTAACGAACCTAGTATGAAATGCCTTTTTGCCCGATATGATAGTTGACAGTCGAACCAAAACCCACCTACCTTGCAACTGATCGCATGTGTTGGGTTATTTTACGAGGCCATCCCCATCCATATCCACATCCTGTTCAAGCGATCAGCAACCATAATCCAGGCAGTCCCTCGTTCAGCACCATGCTCCTCCTCACCTTTCACCCTCACCACGATTCACGACCCCGCGGTATTCCATACTGCTAAAAGGAGATTACATAGGCAGTGGCAGGGGTTGAGTGATTGCTCGTTTTGGCTTGAGGACCTGGGATGCAAACCGACCTTGTCGGACTTATTCCTCGTATGTAGTGTAAAATTTCCCTGGCCACGACGAAAGATGACGGTATGTATCATCGTCGCGGGAGATCATATTTTTGACTGCTTCGATTGCTTCATTCACTACTCGGACAAACAAACCGTCCATATGACCTTTACTTTGCTTTCCATCCATCCCTTTTCCCATCCACGCACTCCATTATCTGTCCCAATTCTAACACATGGCCATCACCAACTACTGCACCAAGCTGATACCATAACACCATCAGGAAAGATAAAAAAAAAATGCGGATATCAGAGGGTCGTGACCGCGTGGACCAATGACTCTTTCAAACGCCTGCACCGCTTTCGACGAGCTGACATTGGGAGCCTGACTGAGTCTAGTCCTACTATGTACATAATCTGACTTCCATTATCCTCTGCCTCTGCCTCTGGCCTCTCCGACCAGACCGAGCCGTGGGGATTTCGCGACTTTCAGTGCATGATATCCTGGTCCGTGTCTCGTTTCACACGCATCACCGATTTGTATCAACCACATGGCAGAGACAAAATGATATTATCTACTCGGACCAGCCAACATACATATCCCGGTCAGAGTCCCTTGATTTTTATTAATTTTTTTTTCTCTTTCACTGCCGTCAAATTGAGGTTTCGCGCAGTGCGTGTAACACGGAGTAAGTTGCAACTAGCAAGGCATGTGAGATCAGCATGGGTGCGGGTGGTGGTTTGGTTCGGGTTCATGGGATCGATTGGGATTGGGCATCAACTTGTTGCTGTCCAAAAGCCCAGGGATGATTTGGGAATGTGACATTCACCTGTGACGAGACAACCCTAACCCTGATAAGCGCCCATCATTGCATCCCAATCGCTCCCAAGGCTGGATGTAAGCGCCCTCGTCCTGGACAAATTGTTGGTCGAAACCTTGGACATTACACCTTGGGTATACTCTTATTACGTATCCAAGCGTCTTTATTACTCCTTTGAGTTTGATTCCCAGGTAATTTCTGTACAGAACCATGCCAAAAGGACTCTGGCCGATGTCTTAGGTAAACAAATCGCAGGTTTCGAGCTTGTTAGTCCGGCTCTATGGAGGAGTGTTTAGGTAACTGAGGGGTTAGTTCTCAAATGTTTGCCTTCAGATACGGGCAGAGGGTTTTACACCTGAAGGTGAACCGTAAGACCAGACGGCTTGAACCACAGCTGCTTGCTCAGCAGGACATCAATTGTCTGGACCATTATCAGAACAGTCAGAAACCACGTGCCTAAAAGGATCGGGATGGCTTTGCCCTTCACTTTTCGTCCCATCCACCTATTGCATAATTATCGCGCGTTGCATACGGGACTTGATTCTTGTCATGATCGAACGATCTCCGTAACACCCTCTTCCGTCCCATAACAAGCTAACCATCCCCGCTGGTGGTTACCAACGACATCTGGTCATCTGGGACCAGCCTAGAGTTTTAGACCGCGATCAAGAGGCTTGCTTAACATCCAACTCTATACCAAGACTCATACACGTCTACCCTCCTCATTTACTTAGTCCTTCAAGGGTATAGCGTACATTTTGAAGGACATGATGCTACGTGAGATGAAATCGCATACCGGAAAACGGAACGTGGAAAATGGGTATCTGTATAAGAAACATCCAAAGGCCACGAAAATACAACGGTAGGAAACGCGCAATGGGTATATCGGAAGAAAAATGCCGCCTTGAATCTTGCGTACACATCGAAATGAAATGCTGAAGGAGACGAAGTTGGAGAATAGCCAAAGGGAAGAAGAGATCTTGTCGTGACGTGTTCTGGTAAAAGACCTCGAAACCGACTTAACTTTTGTGAAAATCTGGTATCCAGCGTTGGAAAGATTTTGGAAACATATCATCAGGAAGACGAGAGAGAAACACCTAGCAAACGTGAAAGTGTAGAGTAAGATAAGACGTTTCGATCGTAGCTTAAGAGAAGAGGAGAGAAAACCGAAGGAAATTACACAAAACCCAAACGGAGAAGAACTTGCAGAAAGAACCATTGGCCCGTGGGAATCACTCAGAGAAACGAAGATAGAGAAGAAAGCGCGAGAAAGAAAACGCATTCGAAACTTGACAGGTCAGAGATAAAAGAAAAGAAGGAAGAGCAGTGAGTGATACATGAGACCAGAGAAGTAAAGAAGACAGGCTCCCAAATTCCCAACAAAATGACTTCCAGTTCCAAAATCCAGTCCTTGATCAACCGGACTTGAGCGAGGATTTCTCTCCATCCTGGACGTGTGAGAAAGAACCATCCTAACACGAATGCAGCCGCAAAGCCTCCCACCTCTAGTTGGAGCTGAGAAAGCCATTAACTTTTCCACCACATGGCAAAGGCGTTTCAATAGAACGGAAAAGAGACGTGGCCCACGCTGTGACCACTAGTAAGCAACTGCTCACCAGGCTTTTTAGGCTTCTAGCCCTGGTAACCACCAAACCCATTGCCGAAGTTCTGGGCTGGGGACGGCTGGTTCCACTGGGCGTTGGGACCGGGCTGACCACGGCCATAACCACCAGCGCTCGGCGGGCCGTTGTAACCCATCTGGGAGCCGTAGCCGGCAGGTGACTGAGCTTGAGGGCCGTTGTAGTTACCTTGCTGGCCTGGGTAAGAGTCTACTTTGTGCGTTAGCGGCTGGCATGTAGAAACCAGTTCACCGAGTCAAGACTCACTGCCATAGTTATTGAAATAAGTGGAGGGAGTGCCGGGATAACCAGGCGTCTGGGCACTCTGAGGGCTATAGGGCTGGTTTGGGTCGAACTGTTGAGGGTTGGGCGTCTTGTCCTTGCCCCACTACACACGAAAGGTCAATAATGTCCCCGTCCAAGATAAGAGGGAGTCACTTACGCTGCACTTCAAAGGCCGACCATTGACCTGATACCCATTAAGCTGGCAAATGGCCATGGCAGCATTCTCGTGAGTGTCCATTTTGATGAATGCAAAGCCGCGGTCGGCCTGGAAACGAGACTCGACGACGTAGCCGAAGTTCTGGAAAAGGGGCACGAGGTCATTCTGAGTGGTGTAGGGAGTCAGGTTGCCGACATAGCAGGTCGTCTGCCAAGCAGGGGTCTGGGCGACAATCATGTCATAGCTGTGAACTCCGTGGGTAGGGAAGTGGTGGTGTCCATAAGGAGTGGTGGGAGTAAGACCCATCTGCTGCATAGCTTGCTGTTGAGCGATGGAAGGCTGACCCTTTTGGTTGGCCCAGTTGCAACGAATGGCACGAGATCCAAGCCATTCGCCGTCCATAGAGCTCAGAGCCTTCTCGGCATCGGGACGGTCGCGGAAAGCAACGAAGCCATAGCCGCGGGAGCGACCGGTCTTCATGTCCCACATGACTCGAGCCTCGGAGACGGAGCCAAAGGCAGAAAAGGCCTGAAGCAGAACCTCGTCGTTGACTTCGTTGGAGAGATCGCCGACGAAGATGTGGAAGTGGCCCGAAGTATCCTCCTTGTTCTGGTTGTTCGACTGGTAGGCCCAGTTGACACGGATTTCCTGCATAATTACCGGTGGTCAGCTCTACTCTATGGAATCATGGCCAAAGATTCGTAGTGTGGAATGGGCGAACTTACGGACTGATGCACGCGCCGGCCGTTGAGCGTCTGCATAGCACGCTCAGCCGCACCGGGATCATCATACTCAACGAAGCCGTAGTTGTAGCCCTTTTGCTGTTTTTCATCCTGAATTGTTAGCAGAATGTCTTGGGCGTCAAGGAATCAAACTGACAGCCTCAACAGGCTGATGTGAAAAATGAACTAACTCGCGGCTGCTCGGAGCCAGGTTTACCCACGTTCTTGTCGGGAATAATTTTGACATTCTGGACATGGCCAGTCGTCTCGAAAATCTGTCTCAAGACGTCTTCGGTGACCCTAGGGTCAAGGCCGCCGACGTAGAGAGCGCGCTTGTTCGGCTCGGGGGCGGCGCGGCGGCCGAAGGGGTTGCCGGCGCTGGTGGGCGACATGATGCCGCTCGTGTCACCGTTCCCACCCATGGGCGACGTAATCGCCGTAGGGATGGGATTGGTGTTTTGCGGGATGTGCAGCGGCGGAGGAGGCATGTGTGCGGAATTCGCGTTGTTGTTTTGACCGTTCTCGTAGCCGGGCGCGCCTGCGTTTGGTTGAGGTGGAGGGGGAAGCTGTCCGGTGGTGGGAGGCGGGCCAACGTCAGCCATGTCGGAGAAATGGTCGAGGATCTGGTAGAAATCAACGAGCAGAGCGGCGATGGCGATGATTGGGGGACGAGCAGCGCAGAGACCCTCCTTGGCGAAGCAGGCCCCACTATGAGCAGCTGTTGAAACGATGGGGTGAGGCAGTGATTGTAGACGACTACGTGAGCGTCTGCGACTGTAATTTCCAGCGGACTTTGGAAACTGAATAAACTTGCAAGGAGGAAGACCTGACCGATCAAACTCGGGGAGATGCTGACTTCTTATTGCAAAAAGAAGATTGACCCCGCGCGAAAGATGCGACGGAAGAAGATTGCTCGAGTCTCGGCCACGTTCTTGTAGCTCGTTTTATAGTAGTTACAGGCGGGCGGGCGCAGTGCGGTAGCGCAAGATGGGATGGCAAACGGAGGCCGTTCGGTGGAGCGGACTCGCTGTGGGTAGAAGAAGACTGTTGGGTGCACAGACAAACTTTGCGCCCACGAAATGGAAGGAACCTGAACGGAATGGCACTGTCGTAGATGACTGGAGATCTCGGCGTGTATCGGGGGTCTAGACACGCGATCGTTATTGAGCCGGCGACAGCAGCTGAAGCCAGGGACGATGACGATGCGGAGACGGGGGACGAGGATGGCTCCCGTTGATGCGAACGGTGGAGGACAGGGATGATGGGTTGGTGACGGTCAGTCAAATAACCGACAAGGGGAACTAGGTAAGTAAAAGAAGAAGGGGAATTGCAGTGATGGCCTGAACTAAACAGCAAAATAGTCAAGAAAGACAAGATGAACTGGAAAACGGCCGTAAACCCAAAAGGAAACGCCCCGAGATTCACAACAGCCTGTCCGAAGAGATGACTTGTCTGGGATTCTTCTGCGATGGTGTTGTTCGGTGGGAGAAGAAGGTAAGGAGAAGGGGGGGAAACTTTTGGAGCTGACAATGAGCCTGATGGAGAAGACGGCCCGGGGGGAGCTCTGAAAGATGCGACGAGCACGGGAGGGGAAGGGAAGACGGGGATTTTTGATGGTGCCATCGTCCTGGGATTGGCGGGCAGGCAGCCACTGAGACGCGAGGACGGAAGGGACAGAAAGGCACATTTGCAGAGCGGAGGAGGGGCGGGACGAACTCCGACCAGAGGCAGGTTGGATCATGGGCTGACTGACCGGCCGATTCGATACCAGAGTATACCTATTAACTGGCCGTCGCCGTCTTCGTCTAGGGCCTGATACTCGTAATCAACCCTTTCTTCACATGTGCCGTAGCAATCTCGAAGCAAAGAACCATGGAGGTTCTGGGCGTTTTGGTGTCAACATAGGAGTAAAGTCTGGAGAATCGAGAGCTCTGGTTGAGTAAATGGATGTCATGTGTGGTTCCTATGATCGTTGGGACGTAAAGGCATCGAAACTATTGACCAGTGAGGCGCTAAGGGACCTAGGTACCTGTTTACAGTCTGATTATACCACAGATACGAGGAGCCCGAGTATCAAATATATTCCCGTTCATCGACTTGCGTGTTGTCTGTCCATACTCTGATCATTTTGATCCTGAAGGCGGAGCACCAGATATGAGTGTGTGTGCTGAGGGGTATCGAGGAGGTTGCTGGTTCACGGCCCGGGGGCTGGAGGCAAGGCGCCAAGGTACTAGCCAACCACACTGTGTCGTGGGTACTAGCTGAGATATTGACCCCCAAGGGGTTCAAGGTTCAGGCTTTCTTGGTTTGGTCCCCTCTTCCACTCTCGAACTGGAAGCTTTCGTTTCCCTTCGAGATCATCAATGCGGCTTGTGTCGACCTTGGCAGAAACGAAACAACACTAGGTACCTCTATGATTTTACCAGCCCTACACCTCTGTATGGACATGAAAGAGTAGCGAGGTACCACGCAACTACAAGAAACAGGGAGCAGTCTCACGGCAAACCAGATATTTCTTGTGGGATATAAGGATTCCCTGCCATTCTCAAAAATCGCGCTGCCCTTTTATATCCATGCAGAGATGTCGGTACAACCTCATCACGGGCTGAATATGCTGAACATGCCACATTCGCAACGCAGGCACCTGGACGGTTTTCTATAAAAGGGTGATGGAACGCGTGGGTAGACCGGGGTGATACTTGCAGTGAATGCATGACCCGACTCGCCCTCCATCTCATCAGTCCGCCCAACACGTGCCAATGGAGCACGACGGAACGGCCAGCTGGGCCGATCTGTCATCGCCGACCACTGTAACGGCTCATTGTGTCAATGAGGGTTTGGCACTCTGTCCAGAAAAGTCTCGGTTATCGATATATGATTATACTTTCCTTGGCAGGACGCATGGCAGTCGAGAGTGACGAACGAAGGAGTTTACGGCAGCCGCTTTTTCGCACAATAGGTCGTTGACTGCCGTGCTAATTGCCAGGTATTGACAGCTCAAACTAAACCCAGTCGAGCAACAATACGGTCTTTATGTGTGGGGTTGAATCGAGTGGATTCGCAGAACTTTAGTTTGTGTAACCGCTGAATGAACTGCAATTGGTGGTCAAGATGAAGCTTAAACGGACAGTCCCATCGCAACCTTTTTTTTTGCTGGATCTGTGCTGTGTGTGAGGTGATTCTGTCCAGGCCCGTCGCCCCGTCCCCTGGATTTCATTGCGGGAACGACAAGGCCAACTCGGGGAAGCACCCGACGCTGGCGGTCAAGGCACCCACGCCTTCCAACCCCACAAAGAGCCTCAACCGCGCGGAGGTTCCAGGGACCCGACTGCACACTCCGACGCTAGGTAGAACTGGAATTACCTACCTACGCTACCTTTACATACCAGCACCGGCCACTGCAAGGTGCAGAGCAGCTACGATCATCTTCTGAACACCGCATAAATAACATCCCACCATTCTTCCATTTGTTTGAGTTCCCACTTCAAGTTCCATTCAGTAGTATCCCCTCAACTTCCAGGTTCCATACGACCTTGGACAACCTTCGTTTGCAGTCACCCAGAACCTTGATCCAGATACCTCTATTCAACCATCACTGGATCAGACGCGAGGTCATAGTTCCATCGAGCCTGAAGAGTCCAGATACCATACCTATTTATCAGGAGTTTATCCCTGGAGTGTGTGCTCGCACAGCAACAGCGAGACAGGAACTTGTCCATGCGTGGATTGCCTTAACCCTGGACGACCCCCTTTGTCTCCCCGCCGTCTAAGCAAAACAATTCCCCGGGATTTATATGCGTCAACATCCAACTTTGCTGCGCGACCATTGTCACACCTTTGGACTAGCGAGGGCCACCCGCTTTACCACAAGACAACGAAAGGCAACTCAACCACCACTTGGCCAATATTTCTCATTTCCAGAAACTTCGGCACACAACTCGCCCTTCAAACCTCGCTTGCTTGCATCATCGGCTTGCAAAATGACCGCCCCAGCCCCCACGAGGCCAAACCTACCAAATCTCAACCTGGACGAGTTGGATCGGCTGTACAATAATGTGGTAAGCAGAACTGTATCTTCCTTCACATTTAGTCGCTAACATGGACTGTTATAGCTCGTTGAAACTGGCAAGGTCTTCAAAGTTCTGGCCAAGGAGGGTGGTAGCTCGGTTGCCGAGTTGCCTGTTGCGAATACCAGCCGTATCCAGTACAATGTTGAGGAGTTCAATGCCGCCCTAGATGAGGTCGAGTCCGAGATCGTAAGTTTGCAGGATATTGGTTGATCTGAGCTACGGGCTAACTTGGAGAAAAAGCTGCAAGCCAAGGCCGCCATCTTGAGGGATCTGAACAAAGCACGGGAAAAGCGCAATCCACCGCCGGTCGCGGTACCCGCGCCAAAACCGGCGTCTCTCCCGGCCCCAACGGCGCCCATGGCTCCCAAGGCACCCAAGGCTCCCATGGCTCCAATGGCCCCCATGACGGTCGGTATTCCGGCAGGTCCCAGCCCCCCTCAACCCCAGCCCGGGAAGCCGCCTCTTAACAAGTCGGTGGCCCCTATCCCTGATATGGGACTCGATCTTACCGCGTCTCCCGTGGCCAAACACTCGCCGAGCCCGAAGCTGGTCAAGACCAATCCCAAGAACTCGCCTCGGCCGGGCGCCGCACGCCCTGTTAGTGCACCTCCGAAAAAGGATTCCAAGGTCCCGCCAGGGCCTGCCTCCCGACTAGCACATGCGGCAAACGCAGCATCACAGGCGCCCCGACCAGCAAGCGCAGCGCCCCAAGCCCCCCATCAAGTTCACAACACCAAGTCTGCGGTCCTTCAGGGTGGGAATCTGGGATCTGGCCCGACCGCGCCGCCTAATCATACCAACATACCGAACCCACCGCCGCATCAAACGATGTCAGGGCCGCAACCAGCTCAGCCAACACAGGGACCCCAAGGGGCTTTCCACGCTCCATCATCCGCTGCAGCCAAAGCACCAGCACCAGCACCAGGAGCCGAAGCTCTCTTCACGAACATGACCTTTTCCCTGGCACCTGCCCCAGGGGAAGCACCGAAGCAGAACCATCAGCCGGCCGCCAACATGACGAATGCCACGAACCCACCCGCTCCGAACGTGAGCCATCAAGCACCGGCTCCTCCGAATGCCAACATCAACAACGCCACACGCAATGGAGCAGGAGGAGAGGACGCCAACATGTCCAATGCGGAGATCTTTGACCTGGGGTCAGGGAGCATGGACAACATGGAGGACATCAACTACGACCTGGGCGGGGAGGGCGGCGACAACAGCAATTTCAACGACCTCTACTTCAGCAGCGGCGGCGACGATACCACGCAGAACACCGAGTTTGATGGCTCGAATTTCTACAACTTTTAGGAGGGGATTTAGGATACGGTCGAACATGAAATGAAGAATCATTGGATAGGATTTTGAGGAGAACCATATGGAGGCAGGGGTAGTATGGTCAGGTTGAGATAGTCAAAGTGAGAAGGTCGCTCAGATCAGGACGACACTTGGACGGAGCAGTATATGGAAAGAGAAGAGAGGAAGAGGAGGGGACAAAGGAATATGGATGGATAGATGGCGTTCTCATGATGATTTTTCTAATGGGTAAATAAGATACGATACCACTTGGGGCTTATACGTAACTATGGGGGCGTCTTTCAAGCGACTTCGTCATATTTGAGGGCGACCGCTTTGCCGACGAGCGATTGATCTGAAGGGGGAAAATGGGATGGCGATGGGACGTAATGCAAGTCGATATGGCGTAGAATACAAATACGATCAAGGGAAAGATGACGTGATGGTATCTTTGGACGATAGTAGCGAGATAGGAGAATGAAACAAAGTCGGTCTCTCTTTGAGAACACAGCTTCACCAATAAAGCTCTCGAGACACTCTTCACCCGACGTTCAAGATGCATGCCATGTGGTTAGTTGACAACACAGATCACAAAATATATCTTGCTGCTTTCCCTATTATCTCTTCGCACAAGCATGGGCGGGGGTATATACCCGCATGGCTACATTTACTCAGAATAGTACCCAGCTGCGGTGGTTGTCCATGCTCTCCATATGTATTACTGCCCTTTCCGTACCGCTATTCAGGTATCCTGAATACATCCCGCGAAACCCAAGGCTGCTGATGGACATTGGTTTTGTTGGTCCGCATAGACATGATTACATATGCCCTATGTGTTGTCCCCCTAACCGCCAGAGATATACTTCAAGGAGACATCTTCCAATTTGGTTCCTTTGTTTTGAGGAAGCGGCTTTGAGGAGGTAGCTTTTGAGGAAATGCAGGGTAGGCAAAAGACACGACGCGAGCATTGCATACGAAGAGGAGGGCGAAAACAAAGACGATGACACAAAAACGTACATATCTGTTGTATACTGTTTGAAGATCACAAGAGAATCGACAGCGGTGTATTTGTTCTTCACCTACATCTACCTATCAGCCTCATTTCTTCTTCAGTGAGGGACGTAGGAAGGAAGCTCGGTCATCTTGTAGTGTATCCGCTCTGAACATGGATGTCCCACATTCATTCCTCTTTCTAGGTCTACCATACCGGTCATGTTCACCGCCAACAGCAAGAACGATCATGATCTTGTTCTTAACCCACCCCAAAGCAAATGTCGTCAGTTAGTGAAGCACCTCTCCTCTTTCGCATTTCTTCTTGAAAAGGCATGTATTTCTTTAACACTCTAGCCTTGCAGGTACGTAGTGTGAAGAAAGGAAAAAAAAAAAAAAAAAAAAGGTCCAGGCACTCCGCTGGGTCTAGGTTACGCATACGCAGTAAGCGTGGCCGGACTTTTTTTTTCCCACACCACCTTCACTTCTTCTGCCTTGGAAAAAGCTTGGGAAAGCGACTCATGTCGATCACCCGTTGATCACCACATCCATTTCGCGCTCTTTCATTGATCAACTTCAATTCCCCCCCAACCCAACCCACACATCATGGACCGCTAGACTAGTGTAAAAAAGAAGCTTGTCTGAGCTTGTCCAATCCAACCAAGCATTTGGAGCTAAAACTAGAGACAAAATTCGTCATACCGAGCTTATTTCTTTTGTCATACAGTGCTGCTTATCATTTATCATCTGTTGCAGTGTTGTCGAACTGCCGGTAATGTAGTGTACACTAGTACTGCGTACCTTGCTGCATCCTCTGCAATTGTCATGTTATGGTTATGTACATGTACACTAATGCCATGCCAAGTCGAATGCAAAGACCGCGGAAAGTTTTGATGTTGTTGTTGGCGCATGCGACATCATCAAATGTTGAAAACATTCAAAGTTCACCTCATTTTGCGTCTGCTTCGAGACGACATATCATTCATTGTTGTCACCTGTCGCTCACATGATGATGATCCCTTCCGCTGCGCTTACCATTCCACAGTTGCCAGTTTAATCTTACAACTCCATTAAACTTGGTTACATGTAGCTGCCTACATTGTTCCGGTGTCACACGATCCATCAATGTCCGTATGTTCGAGTGTCAGTTCAGGTGAATCGAACTTGATGATTCACCGTTCCTGTCCCTGCTGGTACACCATTACCATTTCCTTGCTTCCCGTCCTTCTTCCTGGCCATTTCTTCGGCACCTCTTAGAATAAACCGAATTAAGAGTCACAGGTTGTACAGGAGAGAAGACACTCAGTTTCTTCAGACAACTAACACCAAGCTCAGGTAAGTGGCATTGTGCTATATACACAGACAAAGTATGTGTGTGTCCCCTTTCCTGCTTCCTTCATGGTATTCGTGAGTCGTTTCCAAGTAAGCAATGGTGGTTAGTACAATTAAAAAGACAAACACCGGGTTTGAACAAATAAGAAGAAAAAAAAAGGCGGAAAGAACCAAAGCCGCTGTATGAATACCCTAGTTTTTGGCTAGCGCCAATGGTTTGGCGAAAGAGGAAAAGCAGGTCAGACAGAGAACAAAAGAAAGACAAAGAGTTAGAGTTTGATGAGACGAGAAACCTATCCAGGCTTCATCGTCGCATCGGGTATTTCCAAGAAAGCGCCAAAAACAAAAGTAAACAATAAACAACGAATGTGTCCGTCCGTCCGTCCAACCATGTCCGTCAACACCATTTCAACTCCAAGACCCATTTATATGTCTTTTTTTTTTTTTCTTTTAATTCTTTATTGGCCCAGCATTGCAATGCAAAACAGCTTCGACCAATCATGCGGACAGGCGAGGCTGCTGGTCGGTGGCAGCATTTGCTGTCGACGCTGCCGCTTTTGACTCCAACTCCCTCCTTTTTGCCAGTAAACTCTTGAAAGCACCCAGACACTGAACGAGCTCCTCCTCATTTTGAGCACAAAATCTATAGCTCTTCTCGTCCGTGATAATTTGCATGCAGTGGGCCTTGGACTTGCTCAGCGGATCGATGTCCACAACATTGACGATTGACGAAAAAGCGACGACGAAGAGAACCGAGTACTCGGATTCGTCCTTGTATAAAATGAGATTTCTTGGTCGTAATACCGCCCACGATTTCTTCCATTGCTTGACGCCGCGTTTACTTCGGAGAAATCGCAACCATCCCTGCCAGATAATCCGATCCGGGTCTTGCTCGACGTTGATGCCGCTAGATTGGCTGATGTTCATCGCTCCTGGGGTCATGGGGGCACCCTGTACCTGTGCTGCTCGTACTCGTGCTTGTGATACGGATGGAGACCGCACAGTCAAACTCTCGATTGTTGGGCCCGGTATCCGTTGAAATTCCGAATCGGAGAAATCGGAATGCGACGCAAGTTCTGTCCCCGACATTCCCGATGATTCAATGGCCGATGAACGTCGCCCACCAGGAGACACCAGAATCCGTACAGGAGGTTCGAGGGGTTCCGGTGAGCTCGAAGCAAGTCGTTCCCGATCCGCGGCAGCGGCAAAGTCACGGTTTAGGTCGGATTGTCGTCGGGGAGGTGGGCTGGCCAAGAAAAGTTCCTCTTCTTCCTCCTCTATCCTGGCATCCTTTCTGATCAAGTCAACCCACTCCTGGGCATCCTGCAAAGTCGGAGCTTGAAAATGGAAGTTCTTTGCGGGCGAAAACAGGCCAAAGACGTTTGGGCGTTTCTGCTTTGGGTCTTTGAGGAAAGTGACGGCCGTCAGATCCGACAGATAGATCTTGTGTCGAAGCTTCTCCTCCTTATCTGATTTGTAGATGGACAAAGTGTTGGGGCGCAAGACGAGATAAATAGTCCTCCAAGCCTGAACCGCGACGGTGAGATACAGCCCGGTCCTAAACGATCCCCATGACAGGCCAAAGACGTACCTTGGTTTTTGAGGTGCGCTTTTGCACATAGCCGCTCTTGATCACACGGTCGAATTCAAAGCTTCCGTTCTGATTGACGGGCGAATACGTCTCGCCGGCAAGACCACTTCTAAGCCGGGCACCTGTAGGCGGAGGCGGCATAGGAATGGACGAAGGCGGGGTGGCGACGCTGACGCGGCGATCTTGGAGTGAGGCGGTAGCCGACGAAGCCGGAGGCTGAGTGTACATTTCGGTCATGATGGCGGATAGCGCATGTAAATGGATTTAGTAGTGATCGTGGTGGTGAGTTTGGCGATGATGATGATGATGATGTCAACCACTCTTTGTTATTCGTCGTCGTCGTCGTTGGTAGCAGCAGCAGGAGCAGCAGAGAAGGAGCGACGTGTTGTGCTGAAAAGGCGGAACGAAGGGTAAGGATGTGATGTGAGCGAAGGCGACCCTCGACGGGGGTGATGGAGGGATTATGAAGCCGCAGGGTAAGAACCGGCAACGTGCGTTGAGGCGGCAGCTAACGAGCAATGGAAGTGATGTGGAAATGGAAGCAGAAGCAGAAGCAGAAGCAAGCACGCTCCACAGATGATGATGACCTTGCTGCTGCTACCTTGGTGTAGCGGGCAGATGGAGCAGCAACTGAAGCGAGCCGAAATGTAGGTAATCGAGTGGACGAAATGGTGCAGCAGCTGGCAGACGGACGGGCAGGTCAATCAATAAAAGGAGGATACAGTGAGCTCACGGCAGCGATGCAAAACCGGAGCGGGGAGAGAGGATGGAATCGCGAGAAGCTTCAAATCATTCAGTTTGGGTTGATGAAATGGACCGGGGTGAGTAGCAGTGTGTTTTGATGAGGTCCGAAACCAGTGTCCACCCAGGCACAGACTGACGGGCATTAGGTCCACTTATTAGTCGGGGTGGAGACTCTGGAGCGTTGCCGGGGCGGCCAATCCGGGCTAGGAAATGGAAGCCCACTCGAATCATGTGTGGAGGAGCGAAAGCAGTTCACGGAGTCCACAGGGGTTCTGGTAGGTGCGGCCTGAGGTTCCAGCAGCACCTAACCTGGATTCAGGTAACGGATGCACACTTTCCAAGCTTCTTCAGGGCAACCGACCACACCCTGGCTCGTAGGTAGGTGCTCATCCGGTGAAAGCCCGTCTCAAGGTACCTAGGTGGTCCGTCGTTTGTTGATGATAAGCAGAGGCTGGGCTCGCCGTGCCGAGACACTTTGAAACAGTTGAGGATGGCTTGTACAAGTTAATCTTCCGGCCAACCTTTTACTCGGGAGAAGGGGGAGGCACGGCAGACTTGTTGAACCAAGAGAACCATGGGCAATAGCTCTTGACTAACCTGAAGGTTATAGACGACCACGTACGTGATGTGAATAATGATGGTGCACGGTGAGAATTAGGTGGATTGGTGTTTGATATAAGTAATAAAGCAGCAGATGTACTGTAGCGATGACACACATACATACCTAGGTACATACCCTTTGAGGGCCACAGGTACAGACCATGTTGCTTCGACGATGGACCTATATTTAAGCTATGGACGGGGGTGCCTGGGCTTTGACTTCTTCACAAACCTTCCATCAATGTCCCATATCGAAATTACTTGTGTACACTACATATCGGCAGGCAATCCCGATCCATCAGGGGCATCGAGTACTACCGAGGATGCAGTCCATGCTCTCTTTTTCGGTGCTTCATCTGGTGGTGTCACCGAACTAGTGGTTGAGGACCGCTTGGTTTGTTGGTAGCTCGAGACCTCGGGCCAGCTGCACCTGGACGTATTCATATCTACTTGATTCGTTCGCCTTTCTAAATCGTACTTGGCCATTCATAAGTACTCTTCTTGAAAGGGGGGCTGGGACAGTTCGGGAGAGATACGTCAAATATGATAGGTAGGTACTAGGAGTACCAAAGTAATGAATACACCCGCATTGAATGTCGAAGGTCAGCATTGTCCTCGCTGTCCGAAATGGTTTCAGAGGTCCAACAGGTGCGACGACTGGACACATTCAGAAGCTGGAGCCGAGCGTTTGAACGTTGACGCTTCCCGACGTTCGTTGGCCGCCCACAACCAACCGACTCCACCCAAGCAATTCAAACAGGTGGAGATGGCATGCGGAGAGTGCAGATGCCCCTGCCGACTGCACTGCATAGCATTTCTCCAACTCCGCTCAACTTTTTCACCTTCAACCATCACTCACAACAAGCGCCAGACCAGCGGCAATGAATGGACTGCAGTCTCGATTGTGCAGTCGCCGTCTACACTAGTACTGCAGTGACACCGAATAAGCATTGGGGAGGCTACTGTTGAGCACAAGTCACTATTTACTCACACCAAATTTCGGCATGTGTCACAAATGCACACAAGTGCCGACCGGCGACAACGAAAACAATGGAAGACGAAACTAACGGAGATTGCACGAGGAGCGAGATTGCCGACATCAAACAATTGAGTTGAGGCATAATTGTACATATGGAGCATACGGAGCTTCATTATGGAAACCACCTACTGCCATGGAACTGCGGATCCCATTCCACTTGCCTGGTCGTTCACTTTGCCCCGGCGGTCTTCTGAGCGGTATTCCACGGCTTTTCCATCGAGCTCAATCGCTTCTCCTTCCCCAGAGCTTGGCCGTACTTGGCCGTCTTGGCCTGCTTGGCCTGGAAACGCCATACTACACTACCAACCAAGAGAGAAACGTCCAAAAAGGTCTGGAAGTGAGCGACCAAGAATGCCGAGATGCGGGGAAGCTGCAGTTCAGAGAGCCTCAACTGGATCATATATATGTATGCCTTTTCTATCCATTTCTCGTCGCAATCAAGTGCGTGCATACAAAGTCGGTACGCCAGCTTGGATACCCATTAACCCGCACACTTCTTCTGAACTTGTGCAAAGCATCACTACAAGTGAAGCCGTCTGGTTACATGGCAGTCACAGTCTTCGAGTTCTTGCCTTTCTGCTTGACACTTCTGGCCACCTTGGCCACGATGGGAGTCGTTACTACCTCTATTTCCTCATTTGCACTTCCAGACGAGGTTGGTGCCGTTTGATGCTGGGGTAATGGAAAAGCCTCAAGTGTCCTTCCTTCCTCAAGACAAGTCGTACGACGGATGGAAGAAAGCCTTCAAGAGCACCTGAAGTCTGCTGGATGGGAAAACCGAGCTCGTATTTGACGTGACCATACACATTATTCCCCTTTGTTCACTCCGTCAATACCTTCGCCGTTGGATATGTCCAAGTGATCATTACAAAAGTACCCCTATCAGCTTCTATTCCACTCGTTACACGAGATCACTCAGCCGTTGATTCACACACTATTACTCCACTTGCTCCAAAATTTCCTTATGGAACCTAAATCCACCAAGAAGTCGTCTGGGCGTGCCAAACATAACAAATCCCGTGAAAGCAAGACCGACCAAGTCAAGATTATTGAAGAATTGCGAGCCAGCACCGCTGCCCTTGCGGTTGCGCGGCTGCTCCGTGACACAGGGGGTGAGATATCGATAAATATCAGAGAAGAGTTACCGAGTGACAAACAGTATTTCCGATTCAAGGGGGTAATAGATGGTTTGCCCCAACATGCACTACCAGATTGCGTGGTCAACGTTGGGCGAGTTCCCAACATTCGAGCCCGCCAGGTGAGTCTTTCAGAATCAGCACAGCAAAGCACCCTCAGTTGAACCTGTAGTTACTGACACCCATGTGGCCTCATTCAAGCATGTTATCAGGGAGGCACTCAACCACATGCCTTTACCTGACGAGAATGCCATGCCTGAGCACTCAGTTTCACACTACGAAGTACGGGACTATTCACACATGTTTGACGACGGAACAACCGTCGTCATTGAAAAGCTTCCCGCCCACGGCAGCTTGAGTCTTTGGGACTACATACGAGCTTTGGAGGAATCGAAGGACCTCGATTCAACAATTTCCGCCGCCGCCAACCCCCTTAGGTATGACATTGGAAACTGGCTCGGGCATTTTCACAACTGGGGCTCAGAAGAACATGTGGTTGAGAAACTTCAGGGAATTGCGAGAGACCCAGATGTCATTGACCAGCATTGCAAATCCATCTCCAAAAAGCTAAAGGAGGCCATTTATCAGCTTCCTAAAGGCACTCATGGCGCTCAGAAAAATTTGGACAAAGTCCTTAGCTTGATAAGGGCAAACTATGCCATTCCCGGGAAGAAACGAGCGTTTCAAATTCTCAATGGCAATTTTGACCTAGTCAGGTGAGCGTGGCACGGCGACTGTGTTATCGATTACCACCAAAGGTACTGAGACTGACATGACCATTCTACGTAGCCTCCATATCATGTACTTCCCGCTTGATAAGCGGGACCACCCAAAACATGTGCCATCTGTTTACGTCTCGGATTGGCGTGATTTTCGTGAAGGGCATCCTGCGTTTGACCTCGGTTCGTTGATGGCCGACTTGGTTGTACTCTACGAGCAGAACACCACACTCGCGGGTGATGTGGCCCGGGGATTCACTCAAGGATATTTTGCCAAGGTCAAGAACAGTAGTTGCCTGAACAACAAGTTCATGTTCCACGTCTTGGTACACATTGGAGTGTGCATGATTATACGATGCCGTGGCCTTTTGGAAGAGAGCGATGACACCGGCAAAGACAAGAACACCGGCAAGAGCAAGACTACCGCCAAAAGTAAGAATACTGCTAAAGACAAGAACAATGGCAACCAGGGAGGAAACGGCAATGGTAACGGTACTGACAATGATCATGGCAATCCCAAACACCCGACGAACGACAAGAGGGTTCGAGGACTATTTAAATATGGACTCATGATTATACGTCATGCTATACTTGAAGACAGAAAATGGTTTCTGGATAGGCCTCTTCTATGTCATCTTTTTGACGTATCCTATTCTAAAGATCACCCTGGGCCCGACAAGTGGGAGTTAGCTAGGAGATCCTCCGCAGAGAAGAGTGGTGATCAAGTGGTGGAGTAAGCGGAGAAGGCCTCTAGTATCCTTGGGATTGGCATGATTTGGGTACATATACGCTCTAAGGCCAAGGGAGTATAAGCGATTCATTGTGATTTCATTCGTCTCTCATAGCATTACTTTCAGGTCTCAAAGCAATAAACAAATAGCGATCATAGTTCTTCCAGTCGTTCAGTTACATGGTGTGCCTTCATTTTGAGTACAGGAAAGCAGTTGTCGGAGCCGAACGTGATGCTTAGTATCACTACTGGAGATGTGAGATGTAACGCCATTACTAGCTGAAAAGGGACCTTAGCATGAATTTGGCTATATTGTGTCGCTCTGCTAACAATGACACAGCTTCTCGGCAACTCTATGTCCTGACAATTCAAACAACCGCCTTCGAAACCCCTTTTTCAGGGGATCATCCATAAATAACCCTAACCCTTGACAGTAAGCACAGTTCTGTAAAAACTGCACATGCAACAACAAAAAGTTGGATGAGCACGCATCGACCACCTTCACTCTTTTCGAGTAACTCAACCCTCACAAATCAACAATTGCCACGCTCCCTTTTCAAGGCCCAATTTTGGATTCTTCCAGGACTGTAGTCCGTGAATACTGTGAAGAGCCACCAAACTCAAGACGCCTTCACCAGCAAAACCAGTCATTAAACACATCCTTCCCAACTCAAGCACACCATCCAGAAAGATTGAATCAAGACGGATGGCCTCAACATCGCCACCTTCCACATCTTCACCAGCCATGTCGTCCACCACAACCACCACCACCGCGACAGCCAAACCCTGCATCAAATGCCGTTCTAATCCAGGAACCCTCGACTCCCGCGGTCAACTCGTCTGCCGGTTCGTTCTTTCCTTTCCTTTTCCTTTCCTTTCCTCTCCTCCCCTCCCTTCTAGCCCCCTCCCACCATCTCTAATACCCAAACTAATATCCCTCTCTTTTCACGATAGCATCTGCTTCCAAAAATTCATCTCCCAGAAATGCATCAAACAAATCGGCCTGCTTAACAAGGACGTGCGCTCCTCCTCCTCTCAATCCCTCTCCGCCTACCATTTGTCTCAGAAGAACTCGGGCCCCCCGCAGGCTTCTTCCCGTCGGTATCTGTTGGGATTGTCGCTGGGCGCCAGCTCGGCAGCACTGTTGGAGTTGTTGAATGAGAATGTAGAGTTTCAGCTCTCCAAGGGGAGGAATGCGCCTTTTGAGTTGCAAGTGGTGCATGTGAGTGGTGCTGCTGGTGCTGGTGCTGGTGGGGGACTACTGGAGGATGATGGGAAGGGGCAGGGGAAAGGGAGGACAACAACAGAGAGGGAAAAGGTGGAAGAGGTGGTGGTGAAGAGGTTGGGGAGCAGGTATCCCAGGTTTGAGTTCAGAGTGGTTTATTTGGAGGAGGTGGTTGGGTTGGAGACGGTCGATTGGGAGGGGTTGGGGTTGGGGGATTTTGTCTCGTCGGCGACTGAAGGTGGCAGGGATGATAAGAACGACTCGACGACGACGACGACGACGACGACGACGACGACGACGACGACGACAAAGGCGGGAAAGCTACAGCAACTCTTCGACAGCCTCCCCTCTACCACCTCCCGCACCGACCTCCTTCGCCTCTTCACGCGGCACTTACTCATCGCCGAAGCGCGCAAATCCCACTGTCACGCTTTGCTCTTGGGAAGCAGCACCACCGCCTTGGCCGAGTTGACGCTGTCCGAGACGGCCAAAGGGAGAGGGTTTTCGTTGCCATGGCAGATTAATGATGGAGTGTTGGGTGTTCCTTCCTTCAGCCCTTCCTCCCCTTCCTCAACCTCGCCCGCCGACGCTGGCAAAACAAAGATGGAGGAAACAGGAATGCTGGTGTACCACCCCCTCCGTGACGCTCTGCGAAAGGAGCTGGTCACTTTCACCAAACTTGCTGGTGAGCCAACACCAATTGCGGATTTACTTCCCGAGACGGATTCGTCCACGACAACAGCAGCGGTGGTTTCTCACAAGGATTTGAGCATCGACGAGGTCATGGTTCGGTACTTTGCGGAGGTGGAGGAGAATTACCCGAGTATTGTGGCGAATGTGGCGAGGACGACGGGGAAGTTGATGAGGTTGTTTGGTGGTGCTGGTGTCGCGGATGAGGATGGGGACGGGGAAGGCGGTAAGGCAGCGGGAGAGGATGAAAGTGAGGATAATGACGAAGAGAGGTTGTGCGGGCTGTGTAGTATGCCACTTGATGTGCTTGGAGATGAGCGGTGGAAGGGAGAGTTGGGAGAGGATAGTTATCGGGATGCTTTGGCGGTGGATGAGGGAGCGAGGAAGATGAAGCAGAGGATATGTTATGGGTGTGAGAGGTCGATTCGGGGATAGTTCATGGTGTCTGGCGTCTTGCCATGGGACAAGGAAGATAGAGAGCATTCGACTGGCGTAGAATGAGATACCATTAGACATTTTGCAAGGTATCGACAAGCTATAACGCTCTCATGTGTGGTGATTGTTAACACCCTTTTCCCCTTTTCAGGGGACTTGCTGGTGCTCCATCGACTGATACTTAGGAGACGTTCATAAGCGTACAATATTCTTCGCTTTCATACAAAAGGCAAGCCCCTGCCTGCCTGCCTACCTGCCTGCCTGCCTTTCCCTTGCGTATTAACGCCATATGCGCCTTCCTGCCAAACAGGGTTGATAAACAAATCCACACGTGCACCATCCGTCCTGAGTGTCTATTGTTTAGTTCCTAGAATTCTCTTGTGGCCTCCTCTTCCCTCTCAGCCGTCCTTCATTCCAATGTATTGTGATGGCGCATTCAGGGGACCCTAGCCCATACCCGCACATTATCCCTTGTTCAATCTCGATCTTTCGCAACAGCTTCCCCTCCAGGGGTACTAGTATCTCCCGCCGTTGCCATTGAAACCTCTGCCCTTCCTATTGCGGACCAGCTGGTCGCTATAAAGCCCGCCGGTGCCGCCGCCATTCATAGCTGCCGGTCCCCTAGGTGGCTGCCGTCCGTTGCCATTAGCCATCAGGTCGTCCTCCTCCATAGCGTCTTCAAAACCCAAAGTACCGTCAATTAGATCATCCTCGGGATAGTAGTCGTTCGAGCGTTGAGAGCGGGGGCCGGTGGGGGCGCGAGACGGAGGTAGCTGGGAGGTTAGGGGGTAAGTAGGACCGCTTGGTTTGTGATAGACACTAAGAACACGACCGTCGGCCTGGGCAAAAGTTGTTAGCTTCTCTGGGGCTTGGTTAAGCGGAATGGGGGATAAAACTGACTGTCTGCTTGTCAAATGTAGCAATCACATTGTCGGCACCCTCCTTGCTTTCAAAGACAATCTCGGCGATAACGATCGGGTGATGCTTCATGATACGACAGCTGAGTATTAGGCCGCCAATGGGGGTCATGGCGTTCTCGATATCAGCCGCTGTCGTTCCGGGAGCAAAGTTCTGCGCCATTACCGCAAAAGGTCCTGCCAGACCCCTGATTGTAAATCCCTTGCTGCTAGGACCCGTAGGAACTGACGCAGCTGCCGGTCCCTTGGGCGCATTGGCAGGGGCTTGATGCTGTTGCTGGTGTTGCTGGCGCCTCTGTTGACCTTGCTGCCTGCGCTGATCCGACTGCTCCTGGAACTCATTCCTAATGATCGCCTCCGCCATCTGCGCAGCCCGCCTCTTCTGGCGGGGGTTACCCGCAGGTCCAGCATTCGGGTTGGTGATGCGCGCCGCGAGGCCACCGGACTTGGGGGTATTGTTGGCGGACCTTGAGCCAGGACCAAGATCAACGGTCCATGAGCCGACTCTCTCGTTGTTGTTCTTCGAAGGTGCTGACTGGGGGCCGCCGCCGCGTTGCTGGAACAGACATGAAGGGTCAACGATTCTGAACGCATGGTAGCGCAACATAGAGGGCCGCATTCCAAAAGTTGCGAGCATACCTTCTTGACGCCGGCGCGACTTGCAAGCGAACCACCGGTGGTCTGTTTGGGCGTCGAGACGGGCGTGCTAGTCCGGTTGAAGATCCTGGCCGCGAGGGCTTCGTTCTTTTTCTTCTCGCGGTCCGCCTGAATGAGCTTTTGGAAGTCCTCGGCGACCTTTCTATCTTTCCCCATTGTGTCGGCGAGCTGACTGATGCTGTAGAAAGTGCGGTCGGTCGAAAGAAGTTGGTGAGGCGGAATGTCCAAGTAATCGCCGAAGGACGGTCGCGGATGGTTGTAATGCTGCAGGATATGAACAGGATACGTTGTCGATGGGAGTGTTGGAGTTAAATCTTGGCTGATGAGTGATGCGCCAATTCTTTTGGATTTCCGGTTGGAGTTTGCATTCACAGGGCAGCTGCGCAGGAGGGCAACAAAGGTTCAAAGCTCAAGAAAGGTAACCCAGGGTTTGGGACGGTAAAGAATGAGGGAGCAGCGAGCGCGGGAGGCGTGTCTCTAGGTATATTCAATTTAGCCGTGGGGTGTCGCGTCAGGAGTTCTGAATGCTTCCCGCTTCACTTGACCCTTGGGCGCCCTGCAACGCCGATCACTGCCAAGCGTCAAGCGCACATGGATTGAAGCTCAAGCACAGACCTCTGCACTTTGCTGTGTACCTACTTTACTCTTACAGTCTGATACGTACCTAAGGTACATTGAAGTCCCGATAACCGCTTGGGATGCTGTTTCCTCACTGCTGTGTATTTGTAACATCAACCACAATACTACCTACCTACGGTTTAGTTTACCTCTTCTTGGAGATCTCATCATCGCTATACACGTAACAGGAGGAAGGAAGCTGCTGGGCGCATTCGGCCTTGCTCAACAAGGTTGAAATTACCAAGCTCAAGGACTTTGTATAATGAATTTCCTGCATCTTCTTTGGCCAGCGGATACCAGCCCGTCTATTGTTTCTAGTATCTGAGATATCGAACCGTCTGTTTACATTGACTTTTTATCGTCTTATGCAAAACAGTTCAACAACCAAAACGTAAGCTTGAATTCTGTCCTTCATACGTACAGTGACATGGTCGTATGTGCGAAACCGGCTCCCATATGTACACAGCTTATGTACAATGAAGGATCTATAGCCACACAAAAGGCCTTTGTTCTCCCTCTTTACTCAATACGTGGAGCAAATCTGTCACTCCAAAATGCTTCAAGTCCCCCTCAACCTTCTTCCCGCGCAGCAACACCACCCAACAGATCTGTACTGTATATATATATATATATATATATATATATATATATATACGCCGTAGATGAACAGAGACACCTGTACCCAAATCAAACACACGCCCTACTTGCTTGCTTGCTCCCTACTTTACTTATGCTTATGATGCTCATGGTCATGATCATGCCCATGTTCCTCTCCCTCACCAACAACAACCTCCTCCTCCTCCGGCTCCGGACTAGTCTTGGGACTAACATCCCCCGGAATAAACTCATCAAACTTCTTGATCTTGGCCGCCCCATCCTCCTTAGGTACGAACCGTATCCTGACCTTCCTCGCACCCCTCACCTTGGCGCCCACCTGCGTCCTCACCGCATCTTCCACCTCCCGCACGTCCTCCACAGTCCACATGTTGGGTACCGCCAGCTCAATATCCAGTAAATAATTCTGACCGCTCTTAACACCCGTGATCTCGACGACTTCCACCTCGTGGCCCTCGGATACCCCCTGAAGGGCCCTGAGACATTGTTTGCGGACTGAATGTTTGACTTCGTCGTCGACGGAGCGGTCGGCAAGCTCGTAGAGGGCAGAAACCGTGTTGGAATAGCCGGCTTTGATGACGAGGAGGGAGATGAGAAGGCCACCGACGGGGTCGAGCCAGGAGGCGTTGTGAAGGAAGTTGGCACCGAGAATGGCGGCGAGGGTGACGATACCGGTAAGGGAGTCGACACGGTGGTGTACCGCGTTGGAGGCTAGGACGGAGGATTTACGTTCACGGGCTACTTTCATTGCTGGAAAGGGGGAACATGGTGTTAGTAGGAGTTGTGGGAGGTGAAATTGGGAAAGGGGTAGAGAGGGGGATAGAGAGAAAGGGGACGGAAACATACTAGCATGGTAAAGCCATTCCTTGACGGCCACCGTACCGGCTGCCAACCAAGCAGCATGCAAACTAGGGCCTTCGGCGCTCACACCATGGTGGTGATGGTGTCCATGGCCGTGGCCGTGTGCGTGTTCCAGCAGTTGCGCCGCAGCGGCCGGGTCGAGGAAGAAGTGCGCATAGAGAGAGGTGCAGCTGTTCATGCACATGAAGAGGCCACCAAACAGGAGCATGCTCGACACGCCCAGCGACCCCAAGCTCTCGACCTTGCCGAAGCCGAGGGGGAAGTTTTCGGTTGGCGGGCGCAAGCTCCACGACACGGTCGCGAGCGTCAAAATGTCCGAGGCGAGATCGGTCAAGCTGTGCCAGGCGTCGGCAACCATGGATTGCGAGTTGAAGGCGTAGCCGCCCAGCCCTTTTGCGATGGCCATGCCCAGATTGGAGTAGAGGCCGATCCGGGTGATGCGCACACCGGCGTCGGCCTTGTTTCGCGAGGTCAGGTAGACATTGTCGTGGTGATGGTGGTGATGGCCGAGGCCGTGGGAGTGGCCGGCGTGGCCTCGAGATTGGGTGGGTGTGGTCATGACTGCTGTCCTCGTTGTTGTTGCTGTCCTCCTCCGTGGTCGTAGGAGTTGGGAGAGAAGGGACGGATAAGGGGGGTTGCTCGAAGAGGAGACAGGGATCAAAGAGCGTCGTAAGCGATCTTCGAAGGAGCGACTGTTTGAGTAAGTGTCGAAACAGCGACTAGGAGGAATAGGAGTTGTTGTTGTTGTTGTTGTTGTGGTGGTGGTGGTGGAGGTATGTGTCCCCAGGCATTGACGTTGCAGTAGGAGTTCAAGGCGAGGTGTCCTCCTCGACGAAGTGGCAGACGAGCTAAACGGAAGCAGGCTCCGGGGTCGTGTCGAGACGCAGACGGCGGGATGGAAGTGATGGGCAGCAGTGGGCGCAAGCGCAGTGTCACGGAGGCGCACCAGCGGGGCCGTACATTGCCTACTTGTACACGAAAGAGAAGGCATCAAAAAGGGAAAAAAAAAAAGAAGAAGACAGGGAAGAACACCTAAGAGTCAAGAGAGAGAGATTAGTATCTGACGCGCGTACGGTAGCCACTTGCAGTACCGTATGAGCAAGGGACCGTCTTGATGAGACGTGGCAGGGGGAATTGTTGGAGACCAAGGGATGCCGCAATGCAGTCGTACGTCAGATAGGTACGTGGACAGAATGGCGGAGAGAGAGCTTTAGTTGTGAGTGGGAGTCTCCAGCAATTCCAGAGTGAGTATTGAGGACGGTGATGCTGTGGTTCCTGGATTGGAGGAGTGATTCAATGTAACGAAATCGCATTTACAAGTCAAGTTAGCGGGAAAGGGTTCAAATCGTTTCCCGTTGGGAACCGTTCCCTTGGCTCCCTGTTCCCACTCGCATTGGGTCTGATCGGCCTTTCTGCTTCAAGTCATGTCATGGCCAGACCCGGACACGGGATCGGACCGGGCAAGCGGGCAGGCAGGCCAACGTCAGGCACTGGCGTCTTCTCTCTCTCACGATGCGGAATCGGAGAGGGACCACCAGGGCAGCCGGAACCTAGGCACCTAGAGTCCACCATGGCCCGGCTCAGAACTTGAATGGGACGACGCGAATGCCATGACGCGGCACATCTTGGCTCGCAAACTGAAGCCCTTGCAGCGGAATTGGGAACCTTTATGGTCAAGTGTCCCTTGCCGAATCTGGCCTACAGTTGTCCGGCAGGTGTTATGGTGGGGTATATGGTACTGTGTAAGTTGGAGGGACCTGGACCCTGAAGGCCCAAGCTTCTCTTATTCACCTTGATTAGTCTTATATTGCTACTTCACTCAATGCTTTCCGTCATAACCTTCGGGATTCACAGTCTAGTGTTCTGTACGTATTTCCAATAGAAAGTCGTGGTACTGTGGTCGATCGGTGTGGTTGATACATATCAGTAGGTGGCCCTAGGTACAAAAGAGGGACACAATTCGATGAAAACAACCTTTACATCAAACAATTGAAAGGAGTGTATAAAGCAGCCAAGAAGCATTGTGGCAGCTTCATGAATGAAAGTTTCCATTCAATTGAATCGTGATCAAATTGGCCAGAGTGTGTTGTCAAGTTCATGGAATTGACGACTGGACCGCACGACAAACCCATCTACCAATCCCCAAGTACCTCCACGCCAAGACATCGATGCATCTGATACTTGCAGTGTGTTGCAAGCTCTGAACACCTAACCCAGGAAATCTCCAAAACAACCTTGATAGCTTTAGTTTGGAGTTTCTTCCACGCATCAAGAGAAGAACTTTCTAGCTCTGGAAATCTTGCAAGAACGACATCTTCACATCGACTCGGGAAACGTGCGCTCGACCCTGGAATCTACCCGCGGTTACGCTTCGAGCGATCACGAATTACAAGCAGGCCTTCGCGATAGCCCACACTCAATATGACAGGCAAGGGCAAGTCTCGCTGGGCAGACAGCGCAGAAGACGCCGCGCTCGAAGCCCAGTTGAAGAAGGAAAAGGAGGAAAAGAAGCGCCTAAAGGCCGAAAAGGCGCGCAAAGCCGAAGCCGAAAAGAAGAAGCGCGAAGCAGAAGCTGCGGCGGTGGCACAACGACAACGACAACAACAGCAACAACAACAACAAACCGGTAACGATGACGACGCCAATGGGCCCCCGGCCAAGCGACGAAGACTCTCTCCCGACCGCGACGCAGCAGCAGCACCGACAGCGAGCAGTAATGACAGCAGTAAACTACTACGCTTCGAAGGCGGCCGATTCGGCAAGTGTCGCAGCGTCGAAAACTACGATAAGCTTAACGACATCGAGGAGGGCGCATACGGCTGGGTGGCGCGGGCGCGCGAGATCGAGACCGGCAAGGTCGTTGCGCTGAAGCGACTCAAGATTGATCCGAAGGATCGCAGCGGTCTGCCCGTCACTGGCTTGCGGGAGATTCAAATCTTGAAGGACTGCAGTCACAGGAACATCGTCAAGCTCAAGGAGGTGGTGGTGGGCGACGACACGAGCAAGATTGAAAAGTAGGCTACAATCCCTTTCTCTACTTCGCCGTTTCTTTCTTCACCTTCTATCGGGAAATCGACTAACGACTAACCCACAGCATCTTTATCGTCCTCGAATTCCTCGAACACGACCTCAAGTCCATCCTCGAAGACATGCCCGAGCCCTTCCTCGCCTCCGAAGTCAAGACCCTCCTTCTCCAACTCTGCTCCGGCATCGCCTACCTGCACTCGCATTACATTCTGCACCGGGACCTCAAGACCTCCAATTTATTGCTTAACAACCGGGGCCAGCTCAAGATTGCCGACTTCGGCATGGCCCGCTACGTGCCCGACCCTCCACCACCCAAACTGACCCAACTGGTCGTCACTCTATGGTACCGCGCTCCGGAACTCCTCCTCGGCGCGGCCCGCTACGGGCCCGAAATCGACATGTGGTCCGTGGGCTGCATCTTCGGCGAGCTCCTAACCCGCGAACCCTTACTGCAAGGCAAAAACGAAGTCGACGAGCTCACCAAAATCTTTGAACTCTGCGGTCTTCCGACAGACGAGTCATGGCCCGGTTTCCGCCGTTTACCCAACGCCCGCTCTTTACGCCTGCCCTCTTCTTCTTCTTCTTCCTCTTCTTCCTCTAAACCCCCCTCCACGGGGGCCCTAATCCGCGCCAAATTCCCCCTTCTAACCGCCGCCGGCGTCTCTTTGCTTGCCTCCCTCTTATCTCTAAACCCCTCGCGCCGTCCAACAGCGTCGGAAATGCTGGAGCACGAATACTTCCGCCAGGATCCGAAGCCGAAACAGGAGGCCATGTTCCCTACTTTCCCCAGCAAAGCGGGACAGGAGAAGAGGAGACGGAGAGAGACGCCGAATGCGCCCCAACGGGGCCAGAAGGTGCAGGACCTGGGACAGGTGGATTTTAGTTCGCTGGGTGGGATTTTCGGGAGTGGGAGGGAGAGGGAGGAGAGGGGTGGGGGTTTTAGTTTGAGAATGGTTTAGGGCTGGGGTATGGGACAAGGCTTGGTTTTGTGTTCCGAAGGATTGGACGTAGTGTGGGTTGCGAGCGTGTTTGTTTCTTGTCCGTCTCTGGTGGACGTGAGTGTTTTGAGGGTTGATGGGCGTTGCAGCGTTTAGGGAAATTATTATTTCCATCAATGTATATTGTGAGACCACGGAGAGGTCATCGGACAACATTAGATGAGCCAGGTACAGGGTGTCTACAGACTGATTGGGACGGCGGCAGCATTTGTGCTTCCGTATGCTACAACCTGCGATCTGTATGTATTCTATCCAGTTGGGCGGTAAAAAGTAGAGACCCGGATGCTGGCGTATAATTACAGCCGCATAATACTATATCATTCGAGGTACGGCGTTTACCCTCGCACCGTCTTCTTGAGTTATAATGATCTGATCTATGCTACCCGCCATATACAACGACGTCAAGATGCAGCACACAGGAATGAATCATCGTGTCAGGTTACACCTTTATATTGAGCCTCTCAGGAAAGTGAATGAATAATGCAATGCCTTTTTCTTCTAGTCCAACAGACAATCATGCTTCGCTTCCAACTTCTCTCTCCCCATGTCTTCTTCTTCTCCTCCAGCTCCTTTTCATCCATGGAAACAATTCCTAGCATAAGCCAAAAGACAAAAAACCGACGCCGCATCCATTGTCGTTTGCGCGTAAACACACTCGACTCGACTCCATTCAATGATTATGTGCGTATGTGTGACGTACTGCGTGCTTGCTGACCGACTGTGACCGACTAGCGGGAAGCATGGGATTAGCGATTAGAAAGGCCAGAAAGCAATGCCAACACACGCTCAACTCCTTCCTTTTCTTCTCGCAAGCAAAACAAAATTCAATCATCCAACAAACTCTATTACAAAAACATTAGCCAAAGATTCCACCCTCCATGCCATTCCATACCACGGCCGTTATCCTTCCATAGTCTCTCGCGTCTCTTCCAGTTCCAGCTCCACATGATTCAGCATAGTTCGATCGGTAGGTCAGAGTCTCATTTGTCCTTTATTCTTTTTTGTCATCAACATATTCCAGTCAACCAACAATTCGACAGTAGGTTCTCAAATGAGTCCGCCAAACCCGGTCACGAACCAAGTGAAGCTGAAAACCGTGACCACGCTCATGGCCACCACCGCGCCGAACGCCCGCTTATCGATATCAGAAACACCGCCACTGCAGGTCGCGCACACCCAGCCGCTGGAAAGGGGGGTGTAGGGCTGCGGCGTGTACAGAGTAAAGGTGAAGCCGGCGAAGGGTGCGAGATAGCCAGCCTCGGGAGTCGCGGTGAAGCTCGAGTCGGAGTCGTAAATAATCAGCGTGTACTGATCCACCAGCAGCGGATTCTCAACGTTCTGGGTCTGGTAAGCCTGCGTGTCCCAGGTGAAGGAGCCCGGGGAGGTGTAGGTCATGTTCTGCGTGAGCGTCCAGGTCGCCGAGGCGTCCCTGCACGAGACGAGCACGTCAACGGCCGTGGGCGTGGCCTGAACGTCGGTATAGTTCCAGCCCCAGGTAATGTAGTCGCCGATCTTGTAGAGCTGGGAGCCAGCGAAGACCGAGGGGGTGATCATGCTGATGCCGCCTGGGGGGTCTGTCGGGTCGAAGGTCTTGTGCTTGGTCGTTGTGGCCTTGGTACCCGTCTTCGTCTTGGTACCGGTGCCGGTGCCGGAGTCACTTTCGGAGAGCAGGCCGGTGTTGTAGTTGGTGCTTATTGGGCCCCCCTTCTTCGTCGTGGTGGGGGGCGCGGTGGTTGTGGCATCTTGGTTATCGCTGGCGCTGCCTGTAGGCTTCGCCGTGTCTTTCGCTGTCGCTGTTGGTGCTGGCGCTTCAGAAGATGCTGTGATTGATCCAGGTCAGTTGATGCACGGTTCGGCACGGGTTTGGATGAACCCCGGTGAATCCGTCTTAAACGTACCTGGCTCTGGGTCTGCCCTCACGACAAGGGAGTCAATCTCTGGAAGAAACCTAGGCCATAGCCCAGAAGCGGACGCAATAGGTGACAAAGAGAGCAATGCGACGGCCAGTTGGCCAACAGAGAGTGATGTCCTCATAGTGTTGGTATTTGTTGATGGTGGTGAGTGTGTGTTATATGCAGTTTGTTATGCAGTCTGCAGCAGGCGTTCAGATGAATATGCCCAAGTAGGGGGTCCGAGCGACCAATATCAATCCAAGCCCGATATCCAAAAAAAAAAAAAAAAAAAAAAAAAAAAAAAAAAAAAAAGGTTTCACCCCAGAATAGAGTATATAGAATAGCTGAACAGCAGTTGCACTATAGAAAGCTGTTTAACGTCGGAGAATAACTTTTGGGTGTTGTGGTACTCGTCCTCGTCGACGGTGGCTTGAAGAGTCTGAGCGACAGAGGAATCGTGGTACGACGCTTGTCTTGGTGTGCGGGTAGCGCGGTGGACCAACCCCTAATGCTGGGAGCCTGGGACTTGAGCACTAAACTAGCGGTTGGCTGCTAACCGAACAATGGAATGGATGGATGTTGCCGGTGAGAAATTGTAACTTGAGAGCCGATGGGATAGCTGAAAAACTTTGCTTCGCGTCGGGATGATTCGACTGCTAAACAGCGACAGGATCAGATAAGCGAGAGACGGGTATCCAGGATGATGAGGACGCTGGAAACAGCGGACGGAGCGAACGGTCTGGATAGGTAATGAAAAGCGAATGTGAGGGTTAAGTTGCTGAAGAAAGCGGGCAGAAGGAGAGCGAAAGAGCAACTGGGGTGAGGTGAGTGGATAAGGGAGAAGATGGGCGACATCGATCATGGAACCAGACTGAAATGGCTGGAGATCAACTTCACGGACCGGGTCTGTGGCTCCGTCCTTCTGCATCTTTCCGCCAGAAAGGACTGGACTCACCAGCGAAAAAAGAGGGAAGCCACAACACCCCACCGGGTGAGACGGCCAATAAGGGGCCGAGTAAACATTCGAACTTGACTGTTTTGGGCTTCTCCCTGGATCTCTTCTATCATCACCACTACATGCTGTGGCGCCTTCAGTGAATGCCACGAAAAATTCCCCGTGTCAGGTCCATTCAAAGTCGTATTGAAGCCATGATGGATACGAGCCACAGCGGAGCACGGGCTGGACTCTCCTCGTGCTCGTTCGGCTTTTCTCGTGTTGGACCCCTTTTGCCCCTCTCGCCTAAGCGGCATGGATGACAATCATGTGCGAGCTAAAAATAACCGAGCATTGTGGGCGCATCTCCTTTTTCAATGCTTCGAGATTCATACCTTGACACTTGGATATAAAGGCACCCGATGCCGTTCCCCAGAGTTCCCCAGACGGCCGGGAAACGATGAGCACCATAAACCGGAATTCAGTCGCACAGAATGCCTTGGACACAAGCATTCCCTAAGCCACGTTGCGGTGATTCACATGATCATCCACAAGGTACAGCCCAGTTATGACGGTGGGCAATTTAGCGTTCTTCAACAGGCGCAGATCTGTGGATGCCGTTCGTTTACCGGGCAGACGAGATTCCCACTCTCTGGTTGTCTCACTTACCTGACAAGCTTTCTTGCATGTCAATGGGGAGCACAGGAATCGCTCAGACTTGGGGCTTTGCGAGGCTTCGACAGCCCGTTTCTTCGCCGGCACCTACACCGATGGCTACACTGGCACTGACTGGATGCGACACGAACAGCACCGAGTGCCGCCAACTCCAAGCGTTCCGACACGGTATCACAGCCCAAAGAATGCCCGCCGTTGCCAGATGGTCAAAGGGTTTATCTGTCCTTTCCAAGCAAAACGAAATATCCAGAGCCATGGCGATTGCCGGTGGACGTCGGCGTGCTTGACAGCGACGACTGGCCCTCCTTCTAGTTGGGTATCCGAATTGCTATGTGTCAGACGCATGTAGATGTGCCTGGCTGGGGAATGCGATGGATCCGACAGAGTTGTCGTGACTGTCGATTTCAGGTTCCTGCCTTAGTCGAGCAATAGTTCAAGCTGTTGGGCAGGCTAGTCGAGATGATAGCGGGCCAGCCGAGATTGGGGCCTTTGCAGTGATGACGCTGTTATGTGGTCAACATCCTCCACCCAAACATAGAGGGCGCGACCTGACGGCTCGAGAAGCGTATCTGATGTTCACCTTTGCTGACATTGAGGACGTTGAGTTGAAGGTTATCTATGCGAGCAACGACTTACCGCGCTTACTTGCTAGCCATTGGTTGAACTTCATCCTGGGTTGGGATCTTGGTATCGTCGATGGGCGTCAACTCTGGACATGAAGAGGAAAACATTGACAAGCACCTAAACGGGTAGTACACATACGTCCTCCGGGGAGGCCTTTCCCCATCCCGTCGTGGTATGTTTTGTGGGTAGCTGCCGACGTGAGGTTGGGGATATATCGCTTGGTCGCATTGGCGGGTTTGGTTCTCATGATTGCCCCTCCCACCCAAGGCATCTGATAGGAAGAAGCAGAGTGCGTATGTGCACCCGGGGCGCCCGCATTGCGGCAGTGAATGTGGTGCAAGTTGGCTTTGATCAATGGATGACATGGCGTAGTCTCGCAGCCGAGAGGAAGCATAATGCAGCAGTCGTTTCTGGGGAGAAGAGATGCGGCATTGGCTCGTGAATGGCGTCACATTTGACAAGTATGCACCTCGATTATCGCCATTGGTTGCTGGGCGATAGGATGGTGGTTCACTGCCCCCGAATCTGCATCGTCTGCTTGCCTCTTGGACGGCGGCCCGTATCATTTGGCGCCGCAAGTACTCGTTTTTCAGCTTATACGGTGCTCTTGTTGCCAGTCATCCAAGTAGCCTCGAGTTTGCAACCTGGAAAGGAAATGGATGTCAACAAAGCGCGGATCAGCGGTTTGGCTTGATTCAAGTTCCGGACCCCTCTCCTTTTGATGGCATTTGAAGTTGAGGCTTCCATGTCGCACGTGAGGATATATGCCTTCACTACAGACTACGTTAGCGAGTGGAAGTTGCGCTTCCATGCCAAGATAAGGTGCCGTGTGTTGGTTCAAAGTGGTTGCAGCTTGGGCACACGCTTGATCGAACCTAATTGGGCGGGGCAGATCTCCATGCCTTAGCTTACCTACTGTAGCGGGCTTGGCTGCTTTTCTGGGGGTACATGTTTTGGTGGGTTGCAGCACCTGCCCGCACTGCGGATCGTCTGTAGCTCTCTGCCTGTCACTTCGGTTTGAGGTGACTGCAGTGAATGCACTTCTAACGGATGGAGGGGTACGGGAAGTGGACGGGAAGCTTCGAACATTAACACCTGCCGGAACGCCTCAGGCGCATGTTTGGGTTCAGACGGGACGGGAGACTTTCGACTAGACGTGGGAAGATCCGTTTCCTTTTCTATCTGACGTGCCCCTCGCATGCCCACCCAAAACATCAAACTCACAAACCTCCAGCTTTTCATATTTCTCCGCGCCGTGCGTCCAACATCATGGAGTCACATATCACCATTGATCGGGCATATTATGAAGTCCTGGTGCGAAGGTAAGTACTGTTTTCTTGTCCATGGTAGCATCATGCCTTCTGCTCGGTTTTTGTCTAGAACACCAGAGATCCCTCAAGGCCCGTCCGCCCAACCACTAGGTATATCCCGTTACTGTTGCTGATTTTGGCTTGTCTTTGTTCGTCTACCAGGGCCCAGTTTGTACGTTGCGTTCCGTCAAAACATAAAATCAACTTGACTCGTAGCTCACCCGTAGCTGACCTGCCACAACCGTCAAAAGAATTCCGAAGCTTTTAATCGAAACCACGGCCAGGGTGTCACTCTCCCGCAGGCCGAATATGACAATCTCAACCTCATTGCCCGGCAGTATGGTGCGTTTACTGGCAGTTGAAACCCCCTGAAGATGGCTGTCACCGCAGCAACAAAAATAACAGCCAAAGAGAGACGAAAGATACTCTGAATACATATCAGAACTGACTCAAGTCCAGAAAACCTGAAGCGTAACTTGATGCGCGGTGGAGTGGTTGAGGAGACTATTGATGTATGTCGCCCTGGTGCATCTGGTTATGACCCGTATATATGGAGCCTACCCCGTGGGGACCCCAGGGCTGCTTAACTGATTGAATCCACACTCGATAGCTTCTCAGTCAAGATGACGCTACCATCCAAGGAGGACTTGTTCCGGAGACATCGCAGCACCAGCGTGAGGCGACGCACAAAAGTGCTACCGATGTAGGCACGGCACCCACTCAAATATCCCCTCCCGGCCTCGACAAACCGAGAACATTTAGACCCAGACCTCAACATGACGAGCGCCACAACAGCTACAGCGGCTATAGTGGTCATAACGAGGGTTATCAGTATGGAGGCCGAGGTGCTTGGGCAGAGGTTGATGAAGTTGAGCCCGATGATGAGGACTCATTCTGCGACGAAGTCTATTCCCCAGACGGCCCTAGTGTCCCCGAGGGAGTGAGCGAAGTCAAGCCACAGATGAAGAAGCAGCAATTCGACCGACAGTGCACCAGAACTGTGCAGCTCTACAACCTATCCGAGAGCACTACCCACGCAGACATTACGAATGCTGTCCGAGGCGGTATGCTGTTGGATGTGTTCTTGCGCGCCCATGATCGGTATGCTACCGTATCATTTCTTCACGCTGCAGACGCTAGGAAGTTCTTTGAACACGTCCGGAAGAACGATCTTTATATCAAGAACAAGCGAGTAAGTCAGTGTGTCACATATGTAATTAGGGGAGGTTATATACTGACCAGGCATCCAGGTTGACATCAAGTGGTGTGACCGCCAATTCGTACTGCCAGGCCATATCGCTGGAAAGATAGCCCAGGGAGCCACCCGAAATCTGGTCATTCGCCGGTGCGGTCCCAAAGTCAGCGAAGAAGGTATCCGGGAGGATCTTGACCATATTCACAACCTTGCTGTTATCAAAATCGAACTCACGGGCGGAAACTGTTATATCAGTCTGAACGCTGTACACATGGCCGTCTACGCCAAAACTTGCATGATGAGTCGTCTGTAAGTCAACCATGGACAGGTGATCATTGGCTTCTGCCTACTTGAATGTTGACAACGTGCCCAGGAAGTACAAGACCTTCAGGATTGACTGGGACGTCGATGAGTGTGCCCAGCCCTATGATCCACTCCCCGCTCCAAAGCAACCTAAGGAGGTCAACTTGCCAAAGCCTGCTGCGCCTGCAAACCGCTTCCAGCTCCTAAACTTGGACGATGATGGCGAGGACGAGATTGCTGCAGCATTTCAGTCCAAGAAAAGGGTTGGCATTGCTGTGTAGGACCGAGAAGATGGATCTCATCATGCCCATCGAATGAAGAGAAGACAACTTAACGAAGGCGTCACCAATGAACGAAGTTCTGTACGACCATTGCCGGTAAGCGTAGAATGCCTACCTCCAGTACACGAGACCATGTTTGAGGATATATGTAGGACGGCTCATAGGGGGCACCACATTACTCCGTTTTGTCATTCTAGTATTAGAAGTCTAGGCCTTCTGAAACAACTCAGAAGCCCGCGTACATGATGCGGGTTAGAAACACAGGAGGCAGCAGATATTCCACGCCGTCCTCACCGGCTGTATCTAATATTTATGGGCGAAGGAAGGAAGATGATGAGGCGGCATAAGGCGGACGAGGCACAAGGCACCCGGGAAACAAGTGCACATTTCACCCCTCGTCTAGGTAGACTTGCAATTAGGCTCCGTTTAACTTCTAAGCATGGTGCGAGTATTACTCTCCACTCCTCTACATTCAAAAAGGTCATGATGCAGTATTGGCCCCAGATGCCGTGGTTGATTCTTGCTCCATTGTTGCGTCTTCGCTCAACAACCAGGGAAGACAACGAAGGCAATGGTAGGTAACGTAATGTTAACTTACATCAAACAATCCAGGACCCCGAAATCCAGATATATCACCCTCCATGCTTACAAAAACCCGATCTGAACCAAAAGTACGCCAGCCTTCGCTGCCCTCTAGTTGGTAACCACGATGATCAAAAACGAAAATGTGTATATGATCCCGTCAGTCCTCCCCATGATGCCCGACCTCTCGCCTACCCTACTTCCCTACCCCACAACCACTTCCACAAAAAAAAGAGTAGGACGAAGTAGAAACGCTTCCCATAAGCCAAGAAAAAAGAAAAGGAAAAAAGAGATTAACGCCTGATGTCTAGAACAAAAAGAGGATATCCGCCCGCCGATGAAGTCTATAGCCAGATGTTCGATTGTAGAAAATCACCGTTTCCTCCCCACCGTACCGCCTTCTTTCAAACCCGTCCGTTTTCTTTTTCTTGGTTATATCCTTCCTTTCATTGGTGCCCCTTTCTCCTCCCCTCTTCAATTATATATCGAGCTGGGGCCTGGTGACCTAGCAGGCACCACCTCCATCATGGTCCATGCCCTATGGTGGAACAGTCTCAAGAGACTATAGAACTCGTGCGCTCGTCTATAGGACCCGGGTCTCGGGTCCAAGAATCTTGTCCTCCAGCTTCTTGACCAGCTTCGTGGTCTGCTCGGCCAAGCTGAGGGTCAGGATGGTGTGCGGGAGAATGCGGGTAAGATGGGGGATGACGCCCTTGTAGATGGCGAAGAAACCCTCGGCGCGGATGGTCTTGGCCAGGCAGTCGAAGACGCCCTTGTACAGGTTACCGTTTTGGTTGTAGAGGCGGGACATGATTGTGTCTATTTCGTTCATTGTCAGTTTCAGTTGTCCCAGAGGGCCAGAAGAGGGTCAAGGGGGGAGAGACCCAAGAGGAGGGGAATAAAAAAAAACATACCAGGAGGATGCATCACCACGCAAACCACAAATCCACTCGCCGTACTACTCGCCAAATGCAGCGCCGGCCCCTCCTCCATGCCCAAGTGTTTTACCAACCGCCTCTTCGCAAAGAAGTACGTGGGGAGCTGCACCGAAGATCCAAAGCCCGTCCTAATCATGGCCGCCCCCACACCTCTGTACAACCCCTTCACACCCTCCCCCTTGTAGATTTTCGTCAACCCGTCCCAGGCGTTCTTGTACTGATGCTGCGTGCCGACCGGCAAAAAGGGGCTATAGCTCTGCAACCTCGTCTTGGCCAAGAAGAAGGGTGACCCCGCCATGGCGCCCATGATGCCACTCGCCGCGCCGGCAAACATGTTGATGCCCAGGTTTTGGGTCTTTGCGTCGTTAAAGAGCGTGGTCGCAAGCGCATGTCGCATCGGCTCGTAGAACCCCAGGCGGCATCCGTTCAGGAGGATCTGGTAGATGTACGCGCACCCGATACCGCGGTAGATGCCGCCCAGTCCTTCGTTGCGCACGATCACGGAGACACCGTGGATCGGACCCCGGTAGAAGTGAGGGGAGGAGGTAGAGGATTGGAGCTCGCCCTGGAGTTGCATGCGGATCTTGACGGTCTCGAAGGGGTGCGTGGCGGTTACGGCGCCGCAGGCTGCGATGCCGCCGGCTATGAAGGCGCTGTGAGGGGGGAGGGATGTTAGTCTGGGCTTGGGACCGGGAGGGGGGTTTGGGTTGGGTTGGGTTGCGCGCGCGCACTGGGCGCATTGCGAGGAGGGGAAAGGGAGAGCTTACCCTGCTGTTGTTGACATAGTGACGTTAGGGTATCTGTTTTGGGAGGATGTATGGGGAAGAAGGTTGAGGGAGGGGGAAAAGATCAGGGAGAATCCAAGTCGAGTCCCCAGAGTTGTTGGGTTGATTGCGACGGAGTTGGCGCGCAAAGTCAAAGAAAGGCGCAATGCCGAGTCTTGCCGGTGTTCGGAGAGAGAGGGGGGGAACACGGAAACTAATTCGGGAGTAGGCCGGGGGAAGCGGGAGTGGATGTCACCGTATCACGGAGAGTAACGACGGCAATGACGGGATGATCTGGGGAAAGACCAGATCGAGATATGTACGATACAGGTGTACAACGAAGTTACAACGAACGACGACGACCGCTTCTGTCTCCAGGAACAGGAAGGAAAGAGAAGAACACCGAGAGCTGTCCGGGAAATTTATTGGAGCTTCAAGGTGGCCTCGCCGGTCAGTCGCCGGGCAGACAAGGGGGTCGAAGTGATCGACTGGGACCAACTCCCGCTTTGGGTCAGGCACGGAAGTTGGTGTCAAGATCCTCCTCCGATGCCGTGGATGGGGGTGGTGCCCAATGGCGACGAGGCGAAGGAGTTGTAAGTGCTGCGGTGTCGGCGCGCGGACAACATATTAATGTGGAGTTTCTGCGGTATGACAGGGGGGCGTGGCGGGTCGGGCGGCCCAGACGTGGACCCTGAATCAGAAACGGAAATGTCTGGGCCGGGGAACGCTGTCGTTGCTGCGAGGGAGGGTTAGGGCCTAAGCGCGATGGACGGCAACAACAAGTGTCCGAATCGGAGCTTGATGACAATTTCGAAAAGACGAAGGTACCGAAAGCTTGAAAGACAGTCATACTGGGGCCTCAGCTGAGCATCCTGCCATAGTGTGTAATGATTGCCATTCCAGCTTCGTGAACATACACTAGCACGGTTTCCAATTGACTGCTCGGTTTGCGTCAAGATCACCAACGTATGCCCAGCGTTGATGGAGTTTGTCCAACTGTCACTTACATTGTGTCGTTGCCCATGCAGTTAGACCTGACCATGGATCAAGACAAGGGTTAGGGTCGTGGGCCACAGCCAAGCCATTGTATGTACCTTGACGTCGCATTACTGAAGCTCTGTCTCTCCGCCCGGCAGAAACACCAACACGGTTGACGGATGCTACTAAGTTTTGAACCAAACATCAAACACCTACCATCAATTCGATACCTACTATACAATTTGACTCAGTCTATTCGCCCCGCCATATTCTCTGGTTCTAGCCGGTTTCAATACGATCAATCGACCGCAATGTCATCGACACCGATGGACATCGACGAGCCCGGCGCGGGAACACCCTCCCTGAACGTTACCCGGTTACTTGGGCCTAATGGGCCCAGTACCTCCAAGGTCAGCGAGATGATCAAGAATTTCAGGCCGACAAAGTTCTTCCAGAGAGACGACGTGAAGGAGGGTAGGCCCCAGCCATACGTTCTCTCGATCGACTTTGACGACCCTGGCGAGCTTTGCATGACGTCTGAAAGCGACGAGACCATCCAGATATATAACGTTAGGGAAGGTCGGCATGATAAGAGCTTGCTGAGCAAAAAGTACGGCGTCAAGCATGCGAAGTTTACACATTCCAGCTCGGGCATCATCTATGCGAGCACGAAGCAAAACGGTATGTCACTGTGGACACCCTTTTTCCCTTCAATGACTGCTTTTCGCTGACTTAGATCGCCACAGACGCCATCCGCTATCTGGCAACCCACGATAATACGTTTATCCGATATTTTGAAGGCCACGAGGCCTCCGTTACCAACATTGCTCTCCATCCCGGCTCCGATAACTTTCTTTCATGCAGTCTTGACACCACAGTCAGGCTCTGGGACCTCAACAGCAGGAACTGGGTTGCCAAATTCCACCTCACCAATCCCACTTTAGCGGCCTGGGACCCTGCTGGTCTCGTTTTTGCCATCGCCCTACCAGCCAGCGCCAGCATTCTCCTTTACGATTACCGCAACTACGTGAAACCGTTCAAGATCATCGACGTTTTGAAAGAGAAGGGGCCAGCCGATGCGGATGCCGTCTTCAGAGGCTGGACGAAACTCGAGTTCTCCAACGACGGGAAGCATATTCTTCTAGGAACACGGACCGGAGGACACTTCCTCTTTGACGCCATTGACGGGAACCTGAAAGCGTACTTGCGAAAGCCCCAAGGCGGCACCAGACGGCCAGCCCCTGGCGAGGCTGATGGTGGAAGCGGTGCGCTAGAGAGCAGTGGAGACTGTTGCTTTACGCCAGATGGACGATATGTCGTGTCGGGCGCGGCCAAGGACCTGTTGGTTTGGGACACATTGCAAACTCCCAATAACAAGGTTCTGGAACCGAATTTCCTTCCCCAGGAAGGAAAGAAGGAACCAGTCCTTGTGCAGTACAACCCACGATTCAACATGATTGCCACTGCGGATAAGGAGCTTATGTTCTGGCTGCCGGTTTCCGATTTATAGACGGAGTCTCTCGGAAACTGTTGGACCTCACCTCCATGGTCAACCCCACGGAATAGGTGGGACCGGGCTTTACCGGTTCAGCGCAAACATCCGCTTGAGAAATATGATATGGAGACGTCTATCTGGACCCAAGTCGATGATCAAGAGATCTAGAATAACTTTTTCATCATCTCTGGACACCGATCGCTTCGTGGTTGTGGGGCGTTGTCCCTTTTGTGGCGCCGGGATACTTGGAGAGTTCCCCCAAAGCCGCACGTACGAGGAAGGCAACTGCACAGGACCCATGCTGCGATGTGCGAAGGTCTTGGATGGTATCCTGTTGCTACACCAGGGCAGAGCAGAAGAGCGTCTTGGTAAGAGAACATGAGAGACGTCGGGAACAAAAGAAGATTTTGATGCACTGTACATGAGATACCCATTTTGCATTATTCACCGGCGTATGGGAGTAGTTAGCATGCTTCAAAGGGTTCAGGTTACAAGGCAAGTGGTCTGGAAAGCTGATTTAACCAGACTCGTGCGAGAGGAGATGGAAAGAAATGGTCAAGATGAGCAGCCTGTAATGGTTGATCTAGTTGAGTTTCACTGAGACGATAATAGACATTAGGAAATAGAGGAAGCGCAACATGATTTTCTGTCCATAAAGAACCTGACCATCAGGTAGTACTGATAAAGTCGAGTTGAATTCCACCCTGAAGCCCATATTTTAGACCTGGGACGACAGGAGCTTAAAGTAAACACAACCCCTGTTGCCCCCTGTCATTCGAGGTATGCCCCGCATTTGACCTGGATGGATGGGACTGCGGTGAACCCCACCAATGCAACACCCATTTCAGCGTGCAAGCAGAGAGCTCACCGAAACCGTGGCACCAAAACTTCCCGGGGAAGCGACAAGGTGAACCCACATCATCCTTACCTCCAACATATCACGTCGCCTTGACGCCTTCGCAATTATCTCGAGTTACCAACCGCCGCTGCGCGCCACACTCCCAAGCCGCCAGCCGACACTACCTACTTATACCAAAATAATCATTTGGGTACCGAATCTCCAAACCAGCGCACGAAGAGTACAAACGAAGCGATCACTACTTCGACGGTACAATCCAGTCGCGCAGCACGCGACCACCGTCCCATCAGACGTACTCGTCGTCCACAGCATAAACCGGCGACAACAAATATGCCATACTACGAAAAGTCAGAGGACTGGCTTCACCAGTCTGCTTTGCTGTTGCAGGCTAGGCCTCAGACTGTATGTCTTTTTCCCCTCCTTCAATCATTACATCTTAGTGGGTAGCTATGAGCCATCTAAACTTCTCCCGTCCATGCTAACATGCAAACCCAACCCCCCTCCCCCAATAACAGACCCGAGTAACAACCTCGTACTCTCTCCGCCCCGCCATCCGCCCTTCCAAAGCTGAGAAGCTCGCGGCAAAGGAAGCTCGTCGCGCCAAAGAAAAAGAAACCAGCAGCAAAAAGACTCTCGCCGCCGCCGCCGCCGCCTCAACAGAAGAAGAACCCCCCAAGGATGCGGCGGCGGCAAAACCACCCCGAGGCCATCTGGTCCTCAAGACCTTCGACCCGCACTCGGGCGTGTGCCTGAAATACAAGACGTCCAAAGCCGCCGAGGTGGGTCGGTTGATTCAGATGCTGGGACAATTGGGGAGGAGGATGGCTGCGCTGCCTGTTGACGAGGCCAAGGAGTCGGCAGACGTGGTGATGGCTGATGCGGCTGCTGCTGCGGCGGAGGAGGGTGCTGCGGCGGCGGCGGCGGCGGTTAGTGGGACTGCTACGCCTGTTGCGGGTGCGAGTACGCCTGCGCCTGCGGCAGGAGGCGGTGGACAGGGAAAGAAGAAGAAGAAGGGGAAGAGGTGAATTTTGAGAGGGCACTGAGTGAGTGGGAAGGGGACGAACGCGCGGATCGGCGGGTTGAGCGGGTAAATGCCATGATAATAAAGGGTGGGTAGAACCAAGTGAATGAGGCAAGCGTTTAACATTTGTATGTGGTAACATTTGTGTCAAGTGAAGTCTACCTTGGTTGCGCATCGGCGAACGGGTCAAGTCAGGCGTCATGGTCACTTCAAGTTCACGCCGATACGAATTCGCTGATGTCTATAAGTTCAATTGCCATGTCGTGTGGAGAGACCGAGCTCTGCCCATACATGTAGAAGCTACTGCCTAGAAGCTTCTTTTCTTTTTGTTTATCAATAATCGACCATCTTCTCATTCAAGTTACAGCCCAGTTGTATGTACAAGATGGCTTGATCAAATCAGCCATGATCTTGAGTCCCAATAAACGCCTCTAACTCCGCCCATGTGCTTGATGATAGGAAAAAGGAAAACATTGAACTCGCTCGCCTTTTTTTGAGGTGAGTTGCTGATGGCAGCAAAGATTTTTTATCCAACACAGAAAAACATCTCCAACTGGCAGTTGATAAGCAAGTTGCTAGTCATGCTCGTGTGGGGATGTTCGGTGTGAGATCAGAACGGAAAGGTACAGTGTGGTGAAGGGGGTATTGATGAAACAAAGTCATAAGAGGCGTCGCAAAGAGAAACGAGAAACGGCAAGGACAACGGCATTTAAAAGTCCTCGTCGAAGGTGAAGTCACCGCCGTTCTCGTTCTTGGCCACCTCCGCATCAGCGTCGGCCTTCTTGGTGCTGTTCATGACACCAGCCTTCTGGTAGTCGCCAACACGCTTCTCGAAGAAGTTGGTCTTGCCACCGAGAGAAATGTTCTCCATGAAGTCGAAGGGGTTGGTCGACCTGTAGATCTTCTCGTTGCCGAGGGCGACAAGGAGACGATCGGCGACAAACTCGATGTACTGCTTCATGAGGTCGGCGTTCATGCCAAGAAGAGCGCAAGGGAGGGCCTCAGTGAGGAACTCCTGCTCAATTCTGACAGCATCGACAATGATTTCCTGGATCAGCTGCTTGCTGGGGCGGTTGTTGAGGTGAGAGAAGAGAAGGCAGGCAAAGTCGGTGTGGAGACCCTCATCACGGGAGATGAGCTCGTTGGAGAAGGTAAGGCCAGGCATGAGACCGCGCTTCTTGAGCCAGAAGATGGAGGCGAAAGCACCGCTGAAGAAGATACCCTCGACGGCAGCAAAGGCGACGAGACGCTGGGCAAAGGTGGAGCTCTTGTCGGTAATCCAGCGAAGAGCCCAGTCAGCCTTCTTGCGGATGCAAGGGATGGTGTCAATAGCGTTGAAGAGGTAGGTCCTCTGGGAGGGCTCCTTGATGTAAGTGTCGATGAGGAGGGAGTAGGTCTCGGAGTGAATGTTCTCCATCATGATCTGGAAACCGTAGAAGCAGCGAGCCTCGGGGATCTGGACTTCGCCACTGAAGCGCTCGACGAGGTTCTCATTGACAATACCATCGGAGGCAGCGAAGAAGGCGAGAATGTGGGAGATGAAGAACTTCTCGTCGTCGTTCAGTCTGTTGTTCCAGTCGTGAAGGTCCTTGGAGAGATCAATCTCCTCGGCGGTCCAGAAGGAAGCCTCGGCCTTCTTGTACATTTGCCAGATCTGTAGTGTGGATATCCAATTAGCCCGTGAACCACTTTACGCGTTGTTTGGGGTGTCTGGGACGCGTGGCGTACCTCATGGTACTTGATGGGGAAGAGAACGAAGCGTTGAGGGTTCTCGGTGAGGAGAGGCTCATTGGCCTCCTCAGGCTTGAGGGTAGGGGCCATCTTCTTGGCCTCGGCGGCCTTCTTGTTCGCGTTGTGTTCAGCATCGATCTCGGCTTCGAGCTTAGCAAGGTCCTCGTCGAAGGGCTTGTTCTCCTTGTCGGTGGCACCGAAGTCGAGCTTCTTGGCGGGAGAGTCCATGTTGAGATTCTGGATACCGGAGGTAACCTGTATAGTGCTCGTGTCAGTTACAGTCTTGGTGGCGGGTATGTAAGTTGATGCGGTGGTTTAGAGTTGGTAACGGTTGCAGGTCGCGTCGCGGGATTGTTTATGTAGATGTAAGGTAGGTAGGCTAAGTAAGTACTGACCTGCTTGGACGGGCTGGTCTGGACAGACATGGTGAACTAGGACGAAGAGATGAGATGCAGTTGGGAATGACACAGAACCAAGCGTTGCAAAGGACGACGACGCAAGACGATTTGGTGAAAAGAGGATGTAAAATGGGTTGCGTCAGAGAAGTAGTGGTTTTGGACAAAGACGGGGAAGAAGAACAAGATGGGTTCGTATTTTCAGTTCTTTAGAAGGTTTAAGTACTGAGCACGTCCGCACGTGGTGCCCACACCAGAGAACCTGAACGGACGAGAGGCACCACTGGCAACCCACACTGCCCGCCCTGGGCTGGCAAACAAATCTGCGCGTCAGAACTCCAGGATACGCGTTCTAGAGGTAGGTACAGTAACGCCTGGAGCGCGTCCATGGAGCTCCTTCTGCTGCCGTGCCGTCCGGCAAGCACTTGCAGTGACACAACACCTCCAGGCACAGGTAGCGTTTCCCGATGCCAGACGAGCCTCTCCCCTGCATGCGCCCTGTAAAAGCGTGCTTCAACTCAAAACTTTGTTCCATTGCCATCGCTATTTGTCGCGTTGTTCCGCTTTACAACCAGTTACAATTGCTCCGTCAGCATTCCGACCACCCAATTACATGATCGAATCCACCCTCGAGCAACATGTCGCGTCCTCCCTTGTTTCCATCCGAGCCGTCGTCAAGCCGCCATGCCTGCTTTTTTCTCTTATCAGATCGTCACACATCCATCAATCGGTCCTAGCTGGTCTTGGACTCCAGGCATCCCGATCCACCTGTCACCCCTCCGGCCCGCACACAGCAGCCCAGCAGCTTCCACGGGTCCAGCTGTGACTCCAGTATCATTGCGCCCTTTGTCTAAATAGGATGGGATGATCCAACACGCCAGACCGGATGTGATGGCACTACGGAGACGGTAGAAACCGGTCGTTGCCACTGACGAACACCTTGAACTTGTCTTTGTTGTATGATCGGCTTCAGGCGTCGAGCTGAGATCGGTCCGATGAGTCCGCATCTTTCAACGTGTCACATTCGCATCAGGAGCAATAGCCCAGATCGGGGAGTTTGTCTGAGACCCTTAAGAAGGGGTTGCTAGACAGTCCACTGCTAACTTTGTCATGAAAATGAACGGGGGTGCGAAGCTTATAATCATTAATTGTTGTACAAGGGGCATTATGTAAGTGACATAGAAAAACAAAAACGAGACTCCTAGGTAGGTGTGCCTTCAAGCGCCTTGCTTGCTTTCATAGTTCCGTCTTTTGCGTTTTTCACAACTGAATTCGTGCCGTCATTGTTCATTCATTATTCAGCATCCGACCTCACCAGGTCTTCCATGTCGGAGCTCCGAAGCTCGAACCTCTCCACATCGCACACGTCAAGTGTCGAGACCGCGATCGGCTCGTGTTGGACCCACCAAAACCACTTTATCTCCGGCCTTGACTTCGGGAATCCCTTGTAGACCCACCCCGGCCGTCACCCCGACCGCCGTGGCTATCCCGCAGCTCCCGCTCCGGTCGAGCTTCCACAATCCCGGACTCCAAGTCTGGTTCTGCTGTTCTTCCACCACCGCGGTTCCAGCCCCATCCCCGGCCGTGCGTTGTTTTCGGTGCAGAAGTTGACTGAGCCGGTCGAGTTGAGGGCTGGAGAACCCCATTACCAGTTCCATTTCCTAACAAGTGAATGGTCTCGCCGGTCTCCGGATCAGAGACTTTTCCGTTCCTGACCGCATCAGCCTTCGCCATCAAGTACACGTGGAGTAGCCAGGCATTGCGTGTATTCGCTCGGTAGACCGCATCGATGATGTCGCCAACGATGGGAATCAGACCGATCGCAAAGTCGAACATGATGTTGGATATCATTTTCGCGTAAAGGGTTGCTGGTAGACCACCGTCAATCTTGGAAGCCTTCTTTACCAACCACAGGGCCATGAGAGCATCCGCAAAATCACCGATGCTGGGGAAAATGGTGTCAGCTACACGGCACATCAGAAGTAGGTGGGTCGCGAATCACTTACATAGGAATCAAACCAATAAAGAAGGACCAGCCAAACCGGACGGGAACGCAGCAGCACTTGAAGCCCATGTCCCATTTATATGCTCTCTTCCGCACCGTTTTCAGGATCGCCTGGTCGTTTGATGACAGCTCAACCGGAATTGGTCGCTCCTGAGTCCTGTACTTGACGATTTGACCATTCTTGTATACCGGGACTCGTTCCTCGTATGGATTCTATCAAGTTGCAGTGTCAGTGAAATGTGTGCAAGGGTTGCCGCTCATACATGGAATCCCTGCTCCAAGACTTACGTCAGAGTTTGGCTTGATCTTGTCGGTGTCGAGACTCTTGAGGGCTCTCTTGCCCAATATCGATATGAGGACGTTCATAGTAAATGTCCACTCTGTTCAAGGCGCAGAGGGAGCAGCTGACTTCGACTTGGAAAGGACTGAACCCGTTTGTTTTTGAAGGCCAACTGCGCCAGGGGAACCTTTTTATCGAGTTCGAACCCTTGTTCTATAAAAGCCTTTGACGCTATCCTTTGGCTTTGGTGGGTGGATTGGTCAGGGCGCCTTCTTTGTCGGTTTCACGTCTGGCGCTTGGGGTCGCAACGAATGCCGCTTGAGACACCACAATGCGACTCGAACTTTGGTGAGAAAAGTATCGACACTTGAGGTTCAAAATGTAAAGTTAAGTACGATGCAGTTATCGTGGGCGGCTCTTGGCTTTATCTACCAAATGGTGTTCCACGGGCACAACCGGTCATCTGCTTCGTGAATGCATGCGCGCCTGTTTAGTTAGTGCCTATTTCCTGTTTGGACGATGACGTCCATTCCTTCACGGGACTGGAGTGAACAAGCGACACCAAAAAGACCCGACGGGAGCCCTCCCATTCTCTTCTGGAGAGTCCCTGCCCTTGGGCGAATAATGCGTGCTCCCTCCGGGCTGTGTCCTCCTGCCTCCACTTTTTCACCATCAGGATGATCATCCAGGTACCACACGAGCTGTCATCTGCCATAGGGCGGGAACTCGTGCCCAACAAGAAAAGGTTCATCCCGCCCGAATCTCAAGTGCGTTAGTTTGAAATGGCTTCGGCATCGAACGAAGTCGCCCGCCATCTTGCGCCACAGATCAATGCATTGACAGAGGATGACTGGAAACTGACCTGGAGGTCAACCGTGCCAAGTTACCTTACAGTCAATGCTGCCTTGTTTCAGTTGTTAGCTTGGTACCTGGAATGAGACACATTTTGACCCGTCCTGAACGCCGTAATGGTACTTCAACATGCATAACTGATACTCAAAAACGCATTATCGACATCTGATTTGGTACGTCAATCCTAGTAGATACGTTCATGCCCCCATTATTGAAGAAAACATAATTTGTTGTGGCAACGCCTGGACAAAGTGAGCAGAGGTCTCGAGCTAACTGACCGTCTTGGGTAGGTAACCTTGTACACTATACATAGTGGATTGTGGCTAGAGTGTCCGCTACCTACAGGTGGAGAACGGTCCGTCAGTGACGGCCAGCGCATCTACCGGCAGCCGCCCCCCTCCAGCCAATCCAAGAGCCAACCTTTGGTCGTCACTCTGTTCCTTCGCAACAAGCACAGCAAAGGCCGCTCCCTCCTTATCGTCTCAGCTGATAGGCACCGTGACAGCTCTCCCCTAGGTACCTAGGTACCTCTACCTAACCTGCACCACTAGAGGTATCACAGCACCTTAGCTCAAGGCGCGAGAAGCAACGCCCAAGCCCAATCTGCCCCTCTCATCCGACTTCGACCCTACGCTACCGACTGCGACTGAAGGCTCCGAACAACACAGGCGAGCTTGGAAGCTTCCCCTCTTCCATCCCCGCAACTACATCCTTAATTCCTCAACACCAGAGGTCTTCTCGCCAACACACCAATACCACACTACATCGTCTTGGGATCTCCGACTTCGAACGTGGACGCCATTGCGACAACATCACCACGTCACTCCTCCCACACATCGGAACCGACACTTCCCTGTTCCCCTCCAGACCGTCTACCCAACACACCATCCTCACGGGATCACCGAGACCTACCTACCCGATCATCATCCCGCACCGCACCGCACCACCTTGCTATCACCGCTGTCGCTACCGCTCGGCCCCCCGTTCAACTTCGTCCATTAGACGACGGTGTACGACGGCATAGCTTGAGCTACGCGCCTTGCCTCCTTTTCCGACAATCATATATTTGTGGATATGCTTCGAATGGTTGATACGTCCCAATATGACCGAATCGCAGCTGAAACTCGAAGACTGTCCGTCCCCTCTCTGTATCTTGGCTATCCTGCCGGGCCTCGAGGCAGTCAACAGCTAATACCTCTGCTTAGGGTTGGACGACCTCTGCGTTCGCTTCATCATCAACCTCCCCCAAGAGGATCTTAGATCTGTCGAGCGCATTTGCTTCCAAGTTGAAGAGGCACAATGGTTTTACGAAGATTTCATCCGTCCTTTGGACGACCGCTTACCCCTAATGTCCCTCCGAACCTTTTGCCTGCGCATCTTCGCCCACTGTCCGCTCCTCTCGACCTTCACCGTCGGTGAACATACGCAGGCCTTCGAAAGATTTCTTCAATACAAAACCCGAATTCCTGTCCGCGGCGCCATCATGCTGAATGAGGCCATGGACCATGCCGTTCTCGTCAAAGGCTGGAAGAAGAATGCTAATTGGAGCTTTCCGCGAGGCAAAATCAACAAGGACGAGGACGATTTGGACTGCGCTATACGTGAAGTCTATGAAGAGACCGGTTTCGATATCAGAGAAGCCGGTCTTGTTCCTAAACCGGAAGATGTCAAGTTCATCGAGATTACTATCAGAAATCAACAGTTACGGCTGTACGTGTTTCGCAACGTCCCTATGGACACAGTCTTCCAGCCCAAAACTAGGAAGGAGATCAGCAAAGTGGAGTGGTATAGGCTCTCTGATCTCCCCGCATTTCGGAAGAAAGGTAATCAGCAGCAGGATGCCGCCGCCGCCGCAGCGAATGCCAATAAGTTCTACATGGTAGCTCCGTTTTTGGGGCCGCTGAAGAAATGGGTGTCCCAGCAGAAGAAGAAGGATGCGCTCAGGGCTGGTCAGAATCCTCATCTCGCTGCTGCAGTACAGCTGGAGGAACCCCTGACCGAAGATGACATGGGCACCCAAACTGAAACGATGGGAGAGGTACCAGCAACTTCATCAAAGGACACTTTGGAGGGAGCTAACCGTGAGCTCCGACGGTTGCTGTCGGTTCAGAGTTCGACCGTGGGTCCGCAACCGCCAGCGGGCATGCACGCCGCTGCCTCGAATACGGATAAGGGCGGGGCGTTGATGGCACTCTTGAAGAAGAGGGAGGCCGAAGCGCCTCAACAGGCTCAAGCGACTCGCCATCATGTACCCCATACGCCTCTGGACCTGACTTACCAGAACCCTCCAGAGCCGGAAACTCCACATCATCACCACATTGTTCAACGCTTGCCTGTTCCTAACTTCCAGCCTCCGCCTAATTTTCCAGTTCCTCCACAGGCCAACCAGAACCCCAGTGCTGGGTATCATAACCAGCCGCAACCGCCTCTTCCAGGTTATGGCTATGGGCAAGATCAGTACATGAATGTACCACCTCCCCAAAGAAAAGAGCCTGTTCTCCTACACCCGCAGCCTCTGCCGCCGCAGGTTCAGCAGTCCATGCTTACTAGAGGGATCTTGGGAGTGGCAACACCTAACCTGCCAGACACCACGGGCCAGAGGCATCAGCAGCCTCTCCAAGCCAGTTTGAAGGCGTTCTTGACTCACAGTAGGCTGGATCCTACGCAAGGGCAGATGGCGCCGAACCTACATCCCCCTCAGCTGACGAATCAGGCAATGTCTCTTTTGAACGTCTTCAAGGGCGACAGTGTGCGTTCTGGCCATGATCGGGGCCTTGGTGTCAATACCCAGGAAAACGTCCACCCTCAAATGGCAGACCAGCCTCGACAGCAACCTCCCAGTAGTTTGCAGCATGGGCAACAGCCTAGCCCTGCCGGACAATACTATGGGCAACATGCGCCTCAGGTCACTCAACCACCTTCGGTGAATTCCGTGCCGCATCCTGGACTGGGAGGATTTCCTGCGGGTGCTGCCCCTAGGCCGATCCAGCCTGCGGACTCGCATCGAAATGCCTTGTTGGACATCTTCAAGAAAACAGGACCCGCCTCGCCATCCGGTAGCGATATGGCGCCCAAGTTACACACTGCAGGCCGGCCTGACTTGGCCACCAGGCCGGATTCTGCCAGTCAATACAATGTCGGACCACCTACTCAGAGGCCAGGTTGCACGGCAGGTGCCAGCACAGAAGCCGTTCCTACTAACGTAGAGCACACCCTACCGTATAGACCTCAGATCCTGGCCCGGCCTAAGGCTCAAGAAGCTCAGGAGCTCACGCCTGCGCAACTGCGCAGTTACGCTGTTCCCGCAAGCACTGTTTTGCAAGATCTTAAGAACCAAGTCTATTCCAACTTACCATCTGCCAAGGACCGTCTGCTCAGGCAACAGGCCGAGGCCAGGGCCAACAAGTCGCCCGTAGCCAATCTTGCCGCCACCGCAAGCCAGCCATACAACCAGGATCGGTCTCCTCAGGCCGCCCACGTTGCGCCTTCGTTTCAGCAATACCAGAACCAAGCTTCGCAAGTGCCCAATGTGCTCCAGCAATATCAACAGCGCCATGGGGGTGATAGTCCCAACCCCGAGCAGGTCAACAAGTTGCTCTCGCTTTTTGGCAAGCATCAGCCATCTCCTCCAGTGAGCTTCTCGCAGCCTTCGCCGGCGGGATCAATGGGGTCGAGGCATGTTGAGGAGAAGTTGAAGATGAAGGAGCCCGTTATGTTGGCACAGGCGAGGTCTAGGGTACCCTCGTTTGCCTCGACGAGCGGTGGGGAGCTCGCTGTTCCTCAAGGCCATGATCAGGGCAGCAGGCCCACTTCGAGTGGCGGTAGCCAAACGCCTATCTCGCCGACTGATCGCAACTTTTTGCTGTCGTACTTGAAAAGCATCCCGGGTCCTCGTTAGCGTTGAACACCGAGTATCGGGGGGGGGGGGGGGGGTGATCTATTTTCTAGCAGTGTTGTCTTGGGTTAGTGGACTGATGTAGGGGTTAGTTAGTGAAGGGAATCCTGCTATGCAGTTGTCGCAGCGCCTCTATGGATAATTATGTGGTGCAGGAGGTTAACTGTTACTGACTTGCTTAGTCGATCACTGGTGGGATGGGGATGGTCGTCCATTCACTTCTGGTTTATTTCTCTGACTCGCAAGGAAACAAGCAAGCGATCAAGTGATTCTCTCGTTAATAATGGTTGAACCAACGCTAGCGTTACTTTCATTGTAATCATAGTGTGATTGTGTATCGTGCCCGGACGACGAGTAAGACTCTTTGCATTCACCTTAAGAGATCATTCACACCGTTCACTCCCCGCTTAAGTGCTGGCAACCGTTTTGACTTGGGCCAACATTATCTCACTTCTGAAGCGAAGAGAGGATAATTACTCACAGTTTCATACAACTTTGGCCACAAAACTCTGTATTTGACAACGTGGCGATGGGTTCGAGG